ATAGGTATACAGACCCTGGTGATGGGTATACAGACCTTGGTGATAGATAATACAGACCCTGGTGATGGGTATATAGACTCTGGTGATGGGCATACACACCCTGGTGATAGGTATACAGACCCTGGTGATAGGTATATAGACCCTGGTGATAGATATACAGACCCTGGTGATAGATAATACAGTCCCTGGTGATGGATATACAGACTCTGATGATGGGTATACAGACCCTGGTGATAGATAATACAGACCCTGGTGATAGGTATACAGACCCTGGTGGTGGGTATACAAACCCTGGTGATGGGTATATATACCCTGGTGATAGGTTTATAGACCCTGGTGATGGGTATACAGACCCTGGTGATGGGTATACAGACCCTGGTGATGGGTATATAGACCCTGGTGATAGGTACATAGACCCTGGTGATAAGTATACAGACCCTGGTGATAGGTATACAGACCCTGGTGATAGGTATACAGACCCTGGTGATGGTATACAAACTATGGCAATACATAAACAGACCCTGGTAATAAGTATACAAACCCTGTAAAAATAATTAATTTATAAAAGAAATATATGATAAATGCATAAATAAATCAATAAATAAATGCAAAAATAAATCAATCAATCAATAAAGAAATAAAAAATAAAGAAATAAATAAAAATACGAATAAATGAATGCATAAATAAATAGATAAATAATAAATAAATAGAATACGAAATAAATGAAGGAATGAATATAATAAATAAATAAACAAACAAATAAATGAAATTCTTAATGAATTAATCAATTACTTAATTATTAGAATAATAAATAAATAAATAAACAAACATGCATACAAATTAATAAATCAATGAATTAATTAATGGATGGAATAATTAATAAATGAAGGAAAGAATGTTATAAATGAATTTAAAAAAAAATACAAAAATATATTTTTTAATAAATTAATCAGTTACTTAGTTAATTAATTATAAGAATGATAAATAAATAAATTAAATAAATTAATTAATTAATAATTAAATAAATAAATAAATAAATAAAAACTAACTGTAAAGTTGTTTCATTTATTCTTCTGCTTTTTTGAATAAAAGTTGATCGAACTATGCAAAAATTTCTGTATCTGACTATAGTATCATTCCGCATTACTAGTTTCCATTATATATTCCGAATTTCCTATCTGCTGTTTTCCGATCTCGATGGAAATTTATTTCACGCATGCGCTCTGCCTGGTTATAGAGGCTGGTTACGAGATCCAAAACAGCATACATATTATACATATTATACCTCGATTTGGGCGACTTTCTTGTGCACATTTGATTATGACGTCACAATGAGTAAGACATTTTTTTAACTCTTCAGTACAACAGACTGAAGTCACAGATTGAAAACTTTTTTGCGATTTTTTTAATGTTCGAAAATCGAAAGCGTTAGAAAGCGTTTATTTATCATCACATTGAGACCACAACAGTATCACGAAAAGATACGGAGCAACTGAAAAAGTGTCAACTGCATGATTATTTTTTTTTCTTTTGACGTATTTTAATAAAAAGTTTGTTGCACTGATAAACCGTCTTTATATAAACAACCGCAGTTACAACTGTTATGTCAAAAGTTTAAACTTTATTTTTAAAAAGGAAATTTTAAAAATACATGTACATCTATATCGTAATTGAAAAACTGCTCAGGTATGAAGTTGTTTCGCCTGATTAAAAAAGATCGCTGGCAGACTCTGAGTTAGAAACTCCCTAAAATTACAACTCGCAAATAATTGCGAGTACCAAGAAAGTGAACTCGCAATTTTATAAGACTACTCGCAATTTTCATATAAAGTTAAATTAATATAAATTAAATACATGTAACTTTAGGAAAAAGTAACTACCGTACAATACACAAAATACAGCTACAGTGTGACTTTTATTTAAATTACTGATTTAAATCAAAAGCATTGTGTTCTGTCATATTATATAATTTTGCTACAGTTTCAATGCAAAAAAAAATCAACTTGCAAGTTTTTGCGAGTTACCTAATTTTTAACTCGCAATTTGGGAATTCTAACTCGCGTTTTGCAAGTTGTATATAGTGAATTTCGAACCCTGAGACTTACATTGTATGAGGAATTCGTGCTGAAGAAGATATTAATTCGGTAGGAATCTGAGGAGGGGCGTGCCCCCATAATTTTTTCAATGTATAAAATAATAAATTACTTTAGAAAATCGAGCTATTTTACAGTTGTTGTCCCCCTCGATAATATTACCAGTACATGAAAATATGATACATATTAGAAAACAGAGCTAATTTGCGGTTGTGTCCCATCAAGAATGTCTGCTTCAGGCCCGTAGAACGCGGGAGCTGCGGGGGGGGGGGGGGGGTCCCCCAACTTTTTTCTGAGTATAGTATTTTTCCTATAGATGCATGCTGGTTGCCCCATCCCCCACACTTTTTGTTGCTGTTATGTCGAGCCTGGCAAATCCAGGATTTGGACAGCTTATTAGTTTTTTTTTTAGGTTGCCCCCCCCCCTCCTTATTGAAACCATTGCTACGGGTCTAAACTTTTCTGTGTCTGTTAGGTTGCCCCCCCCCCCCTACTAAAAATTGCATCCTATGTTCCTAGCTGTGTATCTTAGTATCTTTAAAAAAGCTCATCAAAGACTAAATTCTTTAAACTATTACCGGTATAACACCATGTTTTGCAAATACTTTGACAATATCGAACGGTGTCGAGAATGAAAAATCGGACGCTCAAAAAATGACAAAATTCGGTGAAAAATTGTGATCTTTTCATATAAAACACGAGTAGTTCTTGTTTCTTGTTTTTTATTTACCAACAGAATGGGATTTATTTAGAAAAACGCTGCATGACATGATACCACAGCGACATCCTGTTAAAAGAGCAGTTGTATGCAGCGTGTGTACTCGTATAAGCATTACCAATATGAAAATTCCGTATACGGATCATTTGAAAGCACTTGATATACGTATCACAGGCATCAGAAGCAAATTACATCTAGAATACAAGTGTGTTGGGGGTCCAAACTGCGTTGATCAGTATTGAATTAAGAACAAGTCTATTTGTTAGCACTTCAGCTGTTGCTTGTGAAGATTATTTATTTAGGATTTATATCAAGCAAAATGAAACGAAAATTAGTCTTCGATTTAGGAGAATATTGGACATATAACATGTATCATTTCAACTCTACAGAGAATAGATATGTATTTGTTGAAAAAAGATTATGTACTATACTCATCCCCTACCACATTTGCTCCTGAATAATAGTTGTACCTAACCACTCACCATTTCTCTTCCCTAACGTTTTGGCAATTACCCATTTTCTTACTTGTCAGAAAAATTTGAACTTTTTTTTCTAATGTTATTCTCTAATTAATATTCGCTCCCCATTCTTGTAAGTAAAAAGTCTGTGAATCACGCAAGGAGTACTGTTCCTCCAAGCCCCCCCCCCAGCCTTCTCTCTCTCTCTCTTAGTTACAGCTTAAACAAGGTGTTTCAGACAAGATACATTGTTACATAACTCATACATCTGTGCTTATTTTAAATACAAATTTTACATTAAATGTATATACATAAATTTCTTTTTTCTTTTTTGTATTTCTGCACTTTATACCGGACCGTATTCACGACGTCATGCGTGACGTCGCCATAGTTTATAGCGTCATTCTTAAAAATGCTACATTTAGCAATGTAAAAGCAATTATTCGCATTTAAATTACGAGAAAACTAACTCGAAGACATACTAATTTTTTTACATAGATTTATCTGAAATCATCTTGGGGTGAAATGACCCAAAGGGAAACAATTTCGTCTGCACCATTTAAAAGTTACTGAGATTTTTTGAAAAGAAATCTTTCCTGAAAACGAGTCAAAAATGACGTTTTCCCTATAGAATTCAATAGAATAACGACGAAAATGTTACGACAACAATGACATGTTTGGGATTTAATAACGCAAAAACGATGCAGACGAATTTTATAAAATTTTCAGAGAATGTACAACAAAAGTAGGAGATTCATATATGTAATTTTCATGGTATGTTTTCGAGCAATTTTAAAAGGTCACCAACCCCGCGACCTACGTTAAAGGGTGTGTAAAATCAAAATTATTTCTCTGGTACCTTTAAAATGGCCATTTTAAAGGTTTTTTGCATTTGTTCTACATAATTTTTTTTTAATATGAATTTCAATAAATTTCAAATATTCGTTGTATTAGTGCCCCTCCACACCCCACCCACACGAAACAGACTCTGTACGAGCTAGGGATGAGTATCGGTAAAAAATTTGTATTGCAATATATCACGATTTTCCCCCCAAAATATCATATTTTTTTACAGGCAATTTAAAAAAATGACTCTAGAGTAGGATTTCCCCTACGGAAATCCCAAATCAGAGTTAATTTTCCGGAGGGAAATCCTACTCTGTGTAATAGTTATTGAGTGCGATTTCCCCCAGAGCCCATCCCCCCTCCCAATATTTTTGCTCTACTTACGAATGAGGAGGACACATTGATACAAGTGTCCCTTCTTCAAAACGGCGACCAATTTCATTGAAAATAAGAAAAATGAAAATTAAAAAATTGACTTTTTTTTCTTAGTAACTGACCAACCAATTCTCTCGAAGATTAAAATCATTCGTTTCATCTGGTCTAACTGATTTTTTTTAAAAGTGGAACAATGTAATGGATTCTGTATCCATGGAATTTTATTTCAAATGGATTTTTTTTTCTCAAATTGTATTTCAAATTACATGTACATAATATTGGTGTGTGATCGAGTGTCTCTCCAAGTTTCTGGGGTTTAAATATCCAAAATTTCTGCCATTGCCATGAAACTATATTTAAGAAAAAAGGGTTATTTATTTCTAAAAAAAATTCTATTACAAAAGGTATGATAATATGCAGATATTGTTTTCTGTTGACAACGCGAATCATTGCGAGTACGCAGTATTATATGCAATAGTGGTACAATCTATCTATTTGTGTTAGTGTTGATTTTTGGCGGAAAATGTCTGAAAGTGAAATAGAAGATGATATACCAAGTGCTGCTGAGTGTGACAGGCGATGCCAGAGCTTTGCAGACATTACAGGGACAGACACGGCTTTGGCCATGTTTTATCTACAAGACAGGAACTGGAACGTGGAGGTAAATAATTGAATTGTCGGTCTTGCAGAAGTACACACTTCGTTGTCTGCAGGCCAGAATGCATATTATTCATTGATTTGAAAAAAAAGGAGCATTGTATGAACCAGAGTGTAAGAAATGAAGAGGTAATTCTCTGTTTTGTTCATTTATGGAAGTTTAGAGGTGACACTTATTAAACATGTTAAAAGTCTTTGAAAGATCCATTATTTTACATGTATTTCAAGTGTACCATAAATATTATTATTGATTGATTAATTTGTTTCAGTTTTGTAGGCCTACTCAACTCAGGAGAAAAAAAATTGATGGAGTTCTGTAATACAGTTCTATGTCATTGAAAAAATATGTTTTTAATGATATCTGTAGGCTTCAGTCAATGCGTTTTTTGAAGACCAAGATGTCACAGACCATGACAAAGGAACCAAAAGAGGGGGAACAGATGTCACAGAATCTGGAGGGTCTTCCAAGCAAATAAAAATGTACCTGCAAGTTTATATTAATTTGATATTCAAATAATAAGTGTGTGCAAATATGAAGTCTACTCTTTAAAAATACTTATCATGCAAATAAAAATGTTAAGAATATGTTTATATCATCTTGATACACTAATACTGAGAAAATCAATATTATGATTGTCTCCAGAATAATGATTGTATCCCTGATTGGTGAAGCGTAATACCATCATTTTATGGTCAATTCATAAAATTTGAATTTACCCGGTATAACAAAAAAAAAAGCCCTGCATTATTTAAGAAATTTATAAGAAACAAAGGATCTGATATTAAAATCGTCAAATAGCTTACATGATCAAAATATAAAAACAATTTCTTGTTAAGCCATTTAGTGTTGAATGATAGCTATTTATAGTACTTGTATTTTGATTTGAAGAAAACACCCTCTATTCAGTTATTATGTTGTTTTATTTCAGTGAGGAACAAATTAATGATCCAGAACCCAAAAGAATTCGTTTGCTGAGTTGGAACATTGATGGCCTGGACAAACCAAGTGCTGAAAAAAGAACTGTAGAAATTTGTAATATAATCAAGAAGTAATGAACTGTGTTGGTGATTGTCCAAAGGAAAAATGTTTTAATTAGGCTAAGTAAAGTTGAAATTACGATTCTCAGGCCAATTAAAAAAAAAAAGATGAGCGGGAGGCATCTCCCCCCCCCCCCCAAAAAAAACAAATTTCTATAAAAATGACAGTGAAATTTCTTCTTTCTTAGTTTTTATACTGGAGTTATTGTGAAGACATATTTAACATCTTGCAAAACTACTGAATATATGCACCTTTGTCATTTTTCGCAAACAGAGTGTCCATGTCGAATGACTGTCGATATCCATGTTTATAAATGGGTACCGGAAATGAAAATTGAGTGCAAAAGTATGAGAAAATGAGGGCAGCATTTTTTTCTGCAGATTGGTCTCCACATTTAATTAACACTTTAAATAGAAAATTCAATAAAATTTGCAATGCAGCCACCTCAAAACAGATGCACGTGGGCGGGAGAATAGTAACTTCAATTTTAGGTAGCCTTAGCTCATTTTAGCCAAATTAAGGCTCCAGTTTGTTCAGTTTTCTGTTATCTATTTTTCTTATTTCAAAGCTTTTCTGATTGAAGTTTGTCCATTGATTGCAAACTTTTTAAGTTTTCAACTTCTAATTTAATATTGAAATTGTCCTGTGTAAATAAGGTATATGTATCTTAAAAATGCTGAATTCAGCAGTGATTGACATTTTGTTGAAATTCAATTATGATGAGCATTTTTTGTAGACTAAGATTAATTCAATAATGGTCAGGACATTTAAAACCCTCAAGTAACTTTTTTTCCCATGAGTAACAAATAGAGGAATTTTCTTTTGGAGAAAATAATTTATGCTTTTGCTAACAAATGAAGTATGTTTTGATCATCCCCATGATACTTTTGAATGTGTTTAATGTAGAAAGCTTTAAAAGTGATTGATCATTGATGTATAAGATTTCTTTCAATTTTTAAATTCTTAAAAGAACAGAATAAGTTGTTTAACTGAACAACTGATAGAATGGTAAATCTTTTTAGCTCACCTGAGCCAAAGGCTCAAGTGAGCTTTTCTGATCAAAATTTGTCCGTTGTCTGTCGTCGTTGTCGTTGGCGTAAACTTTTCACAATTTCAACTTCTTCTCCAGAACTACTGGGCCAATTTCAACCAAACTTGGCACAGAGTATCCTTGGGTGAAGGGGATTCAAGTTTGTTCAAATGAAGGGCCACGCCCTCTTTCAAGGGGAAATAATAAAGAATTAATGAAAAATTAATAGCATCTTTTAAAAATTTCTTCTCAAGAACCACAAAGCCAGGGAAATTGAAACTCATGTGGAAGCATCCTCAAGTAGTGTAGATTCAAATTTGTTCAAATCATGACCCCTGGGGGTAGGGCGGGGCCACAATGGAGGATCAAAGTTTTACATAGAAATATATAGGAAAAACCTTTAAAAATCTTCTTCTCAAGAACAGCAAAACCCTAATTGGACATATTTATATGGAAGCATCCTCAGGTAGTGGAGATTCAAATTTGTCCAAATCCTGACCCCCGGGGGTAGGGCGGGGCCACAATGGAGGATCAAAGTTTAACATAGAAATATATAGGAAAAACCTTCAAAAATCTTCTTTTCAAGACCAGCAAAGCCATGATAAGTCATATTTATATGGAAGCATCCCCAGGTAGTGTAGATTCAAGTTTGTTCAAATCGTGACCCCCCGGGGTAGGGCGGAGCTACAATGGAGGATCAAAGTTTTACATAGAAATATATAGGAAATATCTTAAAAAAATCTACTTCTCAAGAACAACAAAGTCATATTTATATGGAAGCATCCCCAGGTAGTGTAGATTCAAGTTTGTTCAAATCATGACCCCCTGGGGTAGGGCGGGGCCACAATGGAGGATCAAAGTTTTACATAGAAATATATAGGTAAAACCTTTAAAAATCTTCTTCTCAAGAACAGCAAAGCCCTAATTGGTCATATTTATATGGAAGCATCCTCAGGTAGTGGAGATTCAAGTTTGTTCAAATCATGACACTCGGGGGTAGGGCGGGGCCACAATGGAGGATCTAAGTTTAACATAGAAATATATAGGAAAAACCTTTAAAAATCTTCTTCTCAAGAACAGCAAAGCCATGATGAGTCATATTTATATGGAAGCATCCTCAGGTATTGTAGATTCAAGTTTGTTCAAATCATGACCCCGGGGGATAGGGCGGGTCCACAATGGAGGATCAAAGTTTTACATAGAAATATATATGAAAAATCTTTAAAAATCTTCTTCTCAGGAACAGCAAAGCCCTAAGAGATTATATTTATCTGGAAGTATCCTCAGGTAGTGTAGATTTAAGTTTGTTCAAATCATGACCCCCTGGGGTATGGCGGGGCCACAATGGAGGATCAATGTCTGAAATAGAAATATATAGGAAGGTATCTTCTGATGAAGAACTGCAAAGCCATGATTAGTCATTTTGATATGGAAGCATCCTCAGGTAGTGTAGATTCCAGTTTGTTAAAATGATGACCCCCGGGGATAGCGATGGGCCACAATGGGGGATCAAAATTTTTTTTACATAGGAACATATTGGAAAATATCTTCTTCTCAAGAAATGAAAATCATGTTTAGTCATTTTGATATGGAAGCATCCTCAGGTAGTGTAGGTTCAAGTTTGTTCAAATGATGACCTCTGGGATAGGGAGGAGCCACAATGGGGGATCAAAATTTTACAAAGGAATGTATGGGAAATTTTTTTTTAAAATCTTCTCAAGTACAACAAAGCCATTTGTTATATTGACATGGAAGCATCATCAGGTAGTTTAAAATCCCCCCCCCCCCAACCCCCAGTAATCTTTTCAATACTGAACTGATTTGTGTCTAGATAATGTGCTCAGGTGAGCGATGTGGCCCATGGGCCTCTTGTTTTTATTTCAGAGTGTTTCAGCATATTTGCTTTAGTACATGCATGAATTTTTTTTTTAATTTCCAGAGAAAATCCCCATGCGATTTTACTCCAAGAGGTGACAAATGATACTTTACCAATTCTTCAACAGAATTGTCCTAGCTATAAAATCATTCCAGGAGGATCCATCGAATATTTCACAGCCATCATGTTAAAGAATGACTATGTCAAGTTCAGTGTGAAGGAGATACAGCCATTCAGAAACTCTGTCATGATGAGAAACCTTATGATAGTTCAGGTAGAGATTCATTCATGTAGATTTTGAAATCAAGTGAATACACCACAATGAAGACCATTCCTACACTTTATAAATTTTATTTCAAGAATATGAATATTTGGCTCAGGCTATTCTGATTGTCTTGTCTAGCATACTGTGGAATCATCAGGGGGCTGACAAATCCCATTGCCTGACGCCCGGGGCTAGTGAATTTGAGGAGAGGGCAAGTGAAATTTTATCAACCACTTGCCCGTGGGCAAGTGACTTAAAAAATTAAAATAAATATGTAAGTCATAGATTTAATTTTGGGCACAGGGGATTGCATGTTCTACTTGGTATTTTTCTTCCTATTTTTTATGCCCCAGGATCGAAAGATCCCTCGGGTATATTGTTTTTGTCCTGTCTGTCTGTTGTCAACTTTAACCTTGCCCATAACTTTTGATTGGTTGGAGCTATGACTTTCATATTTCACATGTGTATTCCTTGTGACAAGACCTTTATTTGGGTACCATCATATTTGACCTTGACATTGAAGTTTGACCCACTTTTGCAAAATTTTATGAGACTTTAACCTTGGCCATAACTTCTGAACAGTTGGTGCTTGGGGTTTCAAACTCCACATGTGTATTCTTTGTGACAAGGCCTTCCTTTGGATACCAACAAATTTGACCTTTTGACCTTGGAGTTTGACCTACTTTTGAAAAACTTTAACCTTGGCCATAACTTTTGAACAGTTGGTGCTTGGGGTTTCAAACTTTACATGTGTATTCCTTGTGACAGACTTTCTCTGGATATCAACCTCTTTGACCTTGACCTAGGAGTTTGACCTACTTTTGGAAAACTTTAACCTTGGCCATAACTTTTGAACGGTTGGAGCTAGGGCTTTCATACTTCACATATGAAATCCTTGTGACAAGACCTTCCTTTGGATACCAACCACTTTGACCTTTTGACCTTGACATAGGAGTTTGAGCTACTTTCAAAAAACTTTAACCTTGGCCATAACTTTTGAAGGGTTGGTGCTAGGGCTTTCATACTTCACATATGTAATCCTTGTGACAAGGCCTTCCTTTGGATACCAATCACTTTGACCTTGACACAGGACCAACTTTGAAAAACTTTAACCTTGGCCATAACTTTTGAATGGTTGGTGTTAGGGCTTTCATACTTCACATAAGTAATCCTTGTGACAAGACCTTCCTTTGGATACCAACCACTTTGACCTTGACTTATGAGTTTGACCTACTTTCGAAAAACTTTAACTTTGGCCATAACTTTTGAACAGTTGGTGCTAGGGCTTTCACATTTCACATATGTAATACTTGTGACAAGACCTTCCTTTGGATACCGACAACTTGACCTTGATGTTTTACTTACTTTTAAAAAACTTTAACCTTCGCCATAACTTTTGAACAGTTGCAGCTAGGGCTTTCAAATTTCACAGGTATATTCATCGAGGCAAGAACTTTCTTTGGGTACCAACATTTTTAATCTTTTGGTCTGGATTTGACTGCATTTGAGAAACTTTAACCTTCACTGTAAGCTGCCATACCGGGCATCAGTGTTTCACAAACACATCTTGTTTGAAATATACATAAATACAGTATTAGTTTATAGTTGGGCAAGCAAAAATTCAGTTAGGGCAAGTGAATTTTCACCATACACTTGCCCTTGGACAAGTGCCTTAAAAATCTATTTGTCAGTCCCTGATCATTAGATTTCGTGGGAGCTCAATATTCATGGGTACCTTTCATCCACGAATTTACATCCTCTACGAATTAATATACATGTACTAGGGTTTCAAAGCCATACTTTCTATAAAAGATATGAGTGAATCCACGAAATAACATCCCCACAAACCTGTAAAATTAAAGTAATCCACGAAAATTGGCCCCCTGCAAATTTTGATGATTCTACAGTATACATAAATGATACGGAAAATTCTTTAAAAATCATCTTCACATGATAAAAGAAACTTGCAAAGCTTTAAGCATTTCATATAGTGAAGCTTGAACCCCCTCCACCCTCACCCCTGCTTTTTCCCCCCCCCCTGATCAGACTGCAGAAAACAGAAATTTAAAAAATATGGAATGACCGGGGGGGGGCAAAATCTGAAGAGCTTAAATGAAACAGCAAGCTTAGAATTGGTCATTGTTCATCTGGACAACAGAGATCGAGCTGCAGCAGGTGTCCAGTGTTTTGAAAACTTACACAGAGTCCATTACAGAATAGTAGGGCTGCAAGCAATTTTAATGCAGATATACATTTTCAGCCAAAGAGAGATTATTGCAAATTGACCAAATTCATTTAACAGCTAGGTCATCTTGTACATTTTAGTGTCAAATAAAGGGAGTGCCATTTACCTTGATGACCTCCCATCTGGAGAGCACTAAAGAGTATGGAGGAGAGAGGAAGCAACAGCTAAAGCAGTGTTTTGAGGCAGTCAAGGCAGCTCCTGCTAATCAGAATGTCATCTTTGGAGGAGATCTTAATATGAGAGACAAGGAGGTACATCTACCATGATAAAATACTGTAAACCAACTTTTATGAGAAATATCCTGAAGTTTTGCAACCTCCATCTACCTGCTGGAAACCATTCATTTAATTATTTTTTTTGTGTGTGTAGAATATTTCCTTAATCTTAGTTGCATGTCAAGTTTTCTTGATTTTATTCCAGCTAAAAGAAGTAGGAGGGATTCCTTCAGGGGTTTGTGATGTTTGGGAGGCCACAGGGTCCAGAAAAGAGTGCCTATACACATGGGACATGATGAGAAATACAAACTTGGTATTTGACAAATACAAGCCTCGTTGTCGTTTTGACCGCCTATATCTTAGACATTCCAATCCTAGCACCATCAAACCAGTGTACTTTGAACTAATTGGCTTAGAAAAAGTGAAATCTTGTGGAAAGTTTCCTAGTGACCATTGGGGACTTTTGTCTCACTATGACATAAATAAAACATGAACAGTCTCAGTTAACTAGCCTTATTTTTAGTTCATTATCTTAGTCGCCCTCTATTACTACAGATATGTGACTAATAAAAACAAAAATTTTCAAAATCATTAAGACTTACCTGCATTTACTTCAAACAAGCTTAATTTTACCTCCAATCATGCAGTAAATGATAAATTTTGAGCAAATTTTTGGTGTTGTGATTTCAGGTCACCTGACATCAATAATCAGGAAGCTTCCTTTAATAGGTAGTGTAGATTCTCAATTGTTCAAATCATGGAAACCCAACCCCACCCCCACCCCCTGGGCCCACAATAGGGGATCAAAATTTTACACTGATATTTAGGAGAAAAATCTTAAACAAGGGGCCACAACGCCCACCAGAGCTACTATGGCCATTCTGTTCTTCAGCAACAGATTCTTTTTCCTACATATTATGTAAAACTTTGATCACTTTTTATGGCCCCGCCTTACCTGGTCATGATTTGAACAAACTTCAATCTACACTACCTGAGGATGCTTCTATTATAATATGCCTATTAATGACTTTGCTGTTCTCAAGAAGAAGATTTTCAAGGATTTTCCTTTATATGCCTATGTAAAACTTTGACCCCCTGTTGTGACACCACCCTACCCCCCAGGGGTCATGATTTGAATGAACTTCAATCTACACTACCTAAGTATGCTTCTATATTGATATGATTAATAATGGCTTTGTTCTTGAAAAGAAGATTTTTCATATGTACCGGTATGCCTATGTGAAACTATGATCCCCTGTTGTGACCCTGCCCTACCCCTGGGGTTCATGATATGAACAAAGAAGATTTTGCGTGCGATCTGCAGGAATCATGTGTATGAAAGTTTGTTCAAATCATGACCCCCAGGGGTAAAATGGGACTTCAATGGATCAAAGACGTACATAGGGATATGTAGGAAAAAGAATCTACTGGTGAAAAACAAGAATGGGCACAAGCATTGGATTAGACAGTTTCACTGAAATAATTCGCAATTTTCCTGAATTATTTTTTGCTGCATGTGCTTGAAGGTAATAAGCTGAATTTTGGTATGTATCGACTTAAAGTGAAAAAGGTGAAAATAACGAATAGTGATCGATCTCAAAAAAATTTATTCAATATAAACATTTATGTGAAGAGGTCATAAAACACGGACCCCTTGAAATTCCAGAGGTGGAATCAGGTGTCAAGGAGGAGTAAGCATTCCCCGTTGACCGTTCACACCCACCGTGAGCCCTAAACTGCCCCTTGAATTTGCCAGTGCTCGACCTTACATTAACAAAAGAGTGGGGGGGGGGGGATACTATCAACTAAATGAAAATTTACTATAGCAAAATACTACACTCAGATAAAAAAAAAATGGCCCTTGCGTTTTACGGGCCTGTAAAAACAAAGGCCTAAAAATTGGTATGAAACACGTCAACCAAAATACGACCCAATGATAGGTTACTAACTAGGTCTTTATAACGACGATAGAATTTAAGAAATGTTGACTATAAACGAGGTTGTTGAAATCCCTGTACATCAACTTATCTGTCAGTAGGCTGCCTCGCTTTAAAAATCGATTGCACTTGGAGCATGCTCTTGAGTATCGAATAAGTTGGGAGATAAAAAGAAAGTTGACGATGGAAAAGATCGTTTGTCATACAATTTAGCTGTTAATTGAAATTTTTTTTTTTGATTGACACTATTGCCCTTAGACTGAAATTTCAAAGTTTTCACTGTTTTGCTGTGCTTAGTACACAATGAGCTGGTTTTTGGCATTTCTCTGTATATTGATCACTTACCCGTTTTCACCAGCCATTGCCCTTTTACTTAGAAAATTTCTATTCACTTTTTTCGGGATTTTTTTTTTCGATGTACGAAAGCTCATTGAGCTTATTTTCGTAGGTCAAAAAATATTTTTCGCGTTATAACGCGAAACTTTCGCTTTTCATTGTTATGAATAAACTAGATCAATAAATTAAAAGAAAATGGAGACTTATGTAAATGTCTCTGTTTTAGAGGGAAAGTTTCACATAATAACGCGAAAGTTTCGCGTTTGTTCGTGATAGTTATAACGTGAAAGTTTCGCATTTATTCGCAAAAGTTACGCGTTTAAAAACGAAAAAGTTTCGCGTTATAGCGCGATTTTTTACCTACAAAAATGAGCTCAATAGGATTTCGTATAAATGTGTTTGTTGCAGCAACGTTTTTCAAAGGGGGGACCTCCCCGAAAAAATTTGACAAGCTAAATCAAAATAATGATGAACTGTCCAAACGTGTAAAATCCTATTTTGGTGGGGTGGGGGTGGGGGGTTCTCTAACTTCTTTTTTCAATTGCTGGAATTTGGCTTTGTTGGACCTTACAGGAACAAAAATTTGGGGGGGGGGGGCAGCATCTAAATGAAAATTTACATATTAAAACTATTGCAGAAGTAGTACTATACTTAGAAAAAAGAAGGCTGCGTTCTTCCGTCCATAGATTTTCACCACTTTCACACATTTAAAGTAAGTTGTTAGTTGTGGCATCAACAACTTATTCAAGAGAACAAAGCAGCAATAAGATATTCTATTGCCTAAAGTCTACCCTCATATTACTTTTCTAATGATTTAATTTGTATAACATACAATTGTTCGCATGAGTCCGTGTTCCTATCAATGTAAAGGCGTAATATCAAAAATATTTTTTATAAAACCTTATATGCTGATACGTACTGATGAGATCTATTCAACTTCATCAACCTTTTTGACCTTGATCTTTACTTTGACCTTCACTTCACTTTTCTCAAATTTGTATTTAGCTTAATTTCAAAGAAAAAAATCAAAATATTTTTATCAAACTTCATATACTGATACATATTGAGGAGAGCTATTCAGCTTTGTCAACATTTTTTGACCTTGACCTCACTTTTCTCAAATTTATGTTTAGCTCAGTTTCAAAGAAACTATTCCAGAAATTGTTTATGTAAGCTTACGCACTGATACATTATTTTGTGAGAATTTATAACTGTGTCCATTATTTTTCTTGACCTTCCCAATGACCTTTGACTTTACTATTTATTGTGTAATTAAACTCGGTTAAAAAAAAAAAAAAAAAAAAAAAACTATTCAAGGTATTTTCGTCAAATTTCATACACTAGTACTAATACAAATTTTCATGTTGCATTACTAATGAACACTGAGCGGGGCATTCATTTCCTATGGACATATTTCTAGTTTTTTTTTTTTTTCTATTTATTTATTTTTTCCAGGATGGGGGATGGGGTTGGGGTTGGGGGTTGGATACTAGTATATCGGGCGATAAAATTGAAGGGTAATTCAACTCATGTTTTTCCATTGACTATCTGAAAGTTCCTCATAGTAATCTTAAGGAGTATTTTTTTCAAATAGGAATAGATTTGAAGATTATACTGTTCACTCATGTAACATCTAAAAGTGCATGGAGCAGAAATCATGCAATTGATTGAGTGCTTATTAACCAATTATTTGTGTCAATATAATGGTAACCATACCATCTACATGTATTTCAAGTAATTCAGCACAGGGTGCAGTGGCGTATCCTTATTAAAGGAGAGGGGGGTTCAATCCCCCTTCCCTTCCCTGAGATTATAATTATTTATTTATTTCATAGAAAAGTATCAAAAAATGACTTTGGAACCCCCTCCCCAATGCAATAAGATATGTTTTAGATTTTTGCATTCTGGTGGTTTTTACCCCGCCCCCATTGTTTTTTGAAACCAACAAAAAAAAAAAGAAAGAAAATCGTAGTTTAGATTCATCAATTCGTGCTAGTGTTACATTGTATAACGTTTTATTTTTTTTTTTAATTTTACTGGGTGGCAGTAAATACAGAATTTACAATTTGACAACGGTCATACTGTAAATTTTGTATTTTATTTATAAATTCAATGTGCTAGTTTTCAAAAGCGTTGAACATTCTTAATTCAACGGTTGTCGTTCATTAACTACATCCATAGAAATGCTTGGTTGATGGTACGTACATAATACCCTGATTAACTACTTAAGCATTCGAGTATCAATGACTGCAAAGTCAGATCAGGATAAAATACGCCTTTGCTTTCAATTACAAATCGTTGTTTTCATTAGAATTAAAAAAAATAATGATATTTGGATATAAGTAACCCCTTCATTTTTCAATCTTTTCATCGATCATAAATCTGTTTAAAGTATTGTTTCTTTTCTTGTTTGATATTTAAAAAAAATTCTTCCAAATGCAACAGAACTGACCATAATGGCATTCATTCATTAAAAGAAAAATCTAGTTTGTTTAGGGAATGGATATTCCCTCTATATAATCCTCTGTAGAGTCTTTCCAGAAACCCGACAAAGGACCCGGACCTTATCTTAATTTATCCATAATGTATTCCAATCTACAAGTACAACCTTTATGAAATAAAGATTGATTGATAGAAACAAATTACAATTTGACGTATATATATTCTTTTTTAATCGTATAAAAAAAAAACACCCACCGACCCCCCCCCCCCCCCAAAATGTTCCAGATTACCGATAATCGACTTCAAGCGAAAAGCATCACGATATATCATTACACCCCTGTTTTAAACCACAAGGAAAACGCTTGAGACGTCGCGCACGTCAAAATGACGTTAGATTACAGTACCGACCGGACACAACCTAACACTAGAGCGAACCCAAAGCGCACCCCGGGTTCGCTTCCTGGGTTCGCTCGCGGTCCGCTGCGGGTTCGCTTTCAGAAAATTTGGGACCGCTCTGGGTGCGCTTCGGGTTCGCTCTGCGTTCGCTCGGGGTCAGCTCTGGGTCCGCTAGAGCGAACCCGGCGTTCGCTTTCTGGGTTCGCTTTACGCACTCATGCGTGAAGCGGACCCCGCTTTAATCTTGCCGCCAGTAAGCCCCGCCCCTTGTATATTCCAAATATAGTAGTGAAATCGATCATCACTGTTTTTATGGCGATCGAAACATGTACATGTAAGTGACAATATGGAGAACGTTGATAATTTTTCAAGAATTCCACCGTACATTCGACGTAGAATTATCATTTTTATTTTTCTTAACTTACAAGCTAAGTATATCTCGAAAGAAAAAAAAGAAAAGGTGTTAAATTTATTTTCGATGTATCGGATGGAGTGAAATTGATAAGAGTATCTTAATAAAAAAAAAGCTTTCAAATTCATTTGTTTATATTATTCATGCGTTTTTAAATAAGTTGGAACTTCCAATTGTAATTGCAATTGCTAAATCGTAATTTAAATGTTTGAAAGACAAACAACTGAATTACGATCTTATCTATAAAATAGCTGTGACATACTGTACACGTAAAATGCTAAGTTTTCATATTTAGCAGTTTATATTTAAGCTAGGTTGTCGTCCATTACATGTATATGTAGGTCGTGATAGTCACTAAAAATTCTCATACAGTGTAACTTGAGTTTCGTTTTACAGATCATTTATAATTTACTTCCATGCTATAAATCATTGTTTTATAAGGCGAGTTTAACTGAAGACTTATAAAAAAAAAAAAACAACAACAACAACAATAAAAAATACAAAACAAACAAAAACTAATAACTGGTCCACTGATAAGAATATATTACTTTTTTTAAGTTGTTTTCAAATACATGTAAATGATCACTTGAATAGTTTGTGTTCCTTACTGGTTCATGACCCTCCCCCCCCCCCCCCCCCCCCGCCTAACTACATACATGTACATACTGGAGCGGCATGTTAACAAACAAAATTCTAAATGCTTAAAAATAAATAAATACAAGAAAGAAAACAAACAAAACAAGAATTCAATAACTGTAAACTCGCATGATTAAGTAGATGAAATTAAGATAACAACGCCCGCGGTTTGTTTGTTTTTTTTTTAAATTGTTTTATTTCGATGAGCCCCCCATCCCTTGAATTTCGCATTTATAACGTGCCCAGACGAGGTACATGTAACTTAAGGGGCATCGAATGTAGGGGGGAGTATATACTCAGGTATACCGTGACCATGGAGACAGTATAAATCCAGCTAGCAAGTGTCAATTTAAAAAAAACCCACCGCAATTGCTCTTAATACCCGCAATATTTTCGAAACAGGTGAATGATTACCGATACGTGATGACCTTGGCTTCACTTTGAAACTACAATTATTAAAGTGTTGAAATTAAATAATTATGACAATTACAAAGTTTAAGGTATCTTTGCAAGTTCAATTTACTAATGTTGGAATTACGTGTACTTTTCATGCACAAGTACAAAACGTACCCGTCTAGTATATTTTTATGTTCATATAAAGTATTTCGAAAATTACATGTAGAACATGTAAGAGGTTCATGAATATGTAAACCTGTATAATTATATATATCGACGCGAAGGAAAGTGATAAGCATTTTCGCGTTTTTTTTTTTTTTTTTTTTTTGTTTTTTTTTTGACTGACTTGCAAGTAGTTACAAAAATTCAAAAACATACAATGTAAGGTCTACATGTAGGATAATTAAAATTGACAAAATAATCTTTCCCTATATACATGTATTTAAATCAAGCTATTTATCAAATTTTGGTAAAAGATTAATTAAAAAAAATATCATAGTAGCTAAATGAGATTTTCTTTCTCCAATTTACGTATTGACATAATGCACACTTATCCTGTACAATGTACGTTTAATTTTTTTTTTGTGATCAATTATTAAGATCGATAATTTCGAAGTTGATCTGGATAAATTAAAACGTACATGTAAATTGAAATAATGAATAAAAAATAATTAAATTAAAGTACGTACATGTTCTTATACTGTATCTTGAGATAACAAAATTCTATAATTTATCGTAGACCATTTTTTTTAAAGTAACATATGTTATAACCATTATTATCTTCTTTTTTTCTATTATAAATTAAAGTACTTATTGTCTGATAAGTTTACGCAATGTATATTTATATATTAATGGATTATAAAAATATAAAGAAAATGAATATTTAACTATACATGTAATATGCTACCTGGATAATAAAAATATATAATGTATCGATAGATTTTAAAAATAAAAAATAATGAAAATAGATGTGTAAATATTGCATGTTGTCTGGAGAATTAGAGTATATAAATGTAAAATCATGTTTAAAAATCATATTAATAATATTTTTACACTGTATATTCACACGCTTTGCTTGTACAATGTTTAGATTATAAACTGGCATGTTGACTGGTCGATGCGCTGATGGTCAACACATTTTATCACTTATCCTGATTGACAGACCTGTTTAGCATGTTGATTGGTCGAAGCGCTGATGAGTTAATCGATAATCCTGATTGACAGCTCTGTTACGCAATACCGAACGCGCGTTCGCTTTCTGGGACCGCTACTGAATTTGGGGTTCGCTTTCAGCGTTCGCTCTGGGTCCGCTCTGAGTTCGCTGCGGGTTCGCTACGGGTGCGCTCCGGGTTCGCTCGGGGTCAGCACTAGCGGACCCCAAGCGAACCCGAAGCGAACCCAGAGAGCGAACCCGGGGTGCGCTCTGGGTTCGCTTTCTGTTAGGTTGTGTCTGGTCGGTACTGTACATAACGTTAGAAAGTTCATTTAGCTTAGTTTTTCCCGTACTTTACAGCTGTAATAGAATCATGTAGAAAATGAAGCATTTGCATTGTATTCAATTTGAAATCATGTCAAAAGTACCCCCTATATCTATATTCAATTTAATATCATTTTGAAGTAGAAGTTAAGAAGAAACGAAAAACCGTTTTCTGAAAGATTGTAGGCAATATTGATACATTTCTTTTATCTGAGATGAAAAAAAAAATTCCGAAAACTATACCTGACTTTCTTCTTTTTCATTAAAAATTACAGTTTAAAATGTTTTTTCGTCTAGTTTATCAAAAAATTATATCCCGAAACACCTTATATTACCAAGCTATATTTGTAAAGGATCATTAAAAGAATTCGATCGTTTCTCAAATTGAAAAATCTGTAGGCACCTTTCATTTACTAAATCTTGACCTTAACGTTATTTTTTTTAACTACAAAGTTAATGAAAGAAAAAATATAAACCCAGTATGTTGTCAAATATACAATGCAGTTCATTAAAAACAATTAAAATCTCTGCCATTTTTATGCATATAGGAGGAAAATACTTGAATTTGTGCATAATTTGCCTCATTTGATAAAAAGCTGGGTAGAATTTAGACAATTTCTTTGACATATTTTTTTGGACATTTTTTTTTTACTTATACCTGCTGTTGATTTCATTGAGATACATTCAAAACAATTCCATGTCATATCAACAGGCCCTAGTACCAGCCCTCTGTTTTCAGTAAAGTCTAGATATGTTGTTGTATTTAGCGTGAAATTTAAAGTTTTCATTCAAAGCCTCCACCCCACTCCACCTCTAATCCACCCTCGCAAAGGCACCTAAATACTGAATTCTTCTTGTCAGTATGGTCTAACTATTCCAAGTTATTGCCAATCTAAAATAGGTTACTTTGAAAACTTTTTTTTTTTTTTTTTTACTTTTTGAAAAAAAAATTATTGTCATAATTCTGCATTTCAATTTCAAGGATGAATGAATTAAAAGTATTAATCAATCATTTCATTTCAAATTCCTTTTATATAAATATTTTCCAATATGGACCACTAAATTTACTTTGATTTTTTTTTTAAATTTTATCTTCTGGTAGAGAATCCATTTTTGTGAGTAGATGATTTCTCCCACTTTTAAAGGTTATTTAATATTCCACATACACGTCTCTTTGTGTGCCCCCCCCCCCCCCCAATATAATTTGAATCATGACATATTACCGCAGTACTATATGAAAATAAACATTAATCATAAATTTGTAAATATATATTATAGATAAGTTTAACTTGATAAAATCTAACCTTTCAATGTAACAAAATGAAGCATTTCCCGTTTTGTTTATTTTTTTTCCTTAAAGCATTTTCGCGTCCTTCGATTTGAAATCATATGAAAAAAAAATACCCATACTCAAACTAATATTATTTTCAACAAGATGTCACTAATACGTTTTCTGAGAGAATGTATTCAATCAGGATACATTTATTTTGTATGTTAGGAAAATGTCCAAAATTAATTTCTAGCTGATTTTCTTCATTTTTCATTGAAAATAAAACTTTAGAAAACATATTTTTGTTGTGAAATGTTTTGAAGGAAAACTTTTTTTAATACAATTTTTAGCAAACGACTAATCTTTTTTGGAGGGGGGGTATCCAATGTCCTTAATTAATTTATTACAAATGAAATATATGTATATCAGACATTGCGAAAGCAAAAAAGAATAATTAAAAAAAACATACTCTACACACTTTTGCAAAATACGGATTCAACAATTTCTATTTTGAGACGCTCCCCAAGTCGGCTCATCACTCGCACATGTGCACTTGATACACAAACATTCAACATGGCGCTTACATGAAAGACGTTACGAAAAGCGAATGGATTTAAAGACATTTTTCAGTGGAAATGTAGGGTAATCTGTGATATTTTATAACAAATGACAAGATGAGTGAATGAGAGCCCACATGTTCCATGCAGGCCAAAAAACGTTACCTATTTCTGGTTATTCTCGCCATTCTATTAGTCATTGTGTATCTCTGTTCTAAAAGCGTAAGCAAATATGGCGAAGTCACATTGTCTCTTGAAAAGAGAGAATTTCCCACTTATATGGAGTCGGAGGCTGTGGACCTATTCTCCCCAAAGCGTAGGAGGGAAACAATCACTTCGGAATCTAAAAATGAGAAATGCCGAATGGACACTTGCTTTGATTTCACCCGGTGTCTTAGGGGTTTCAAAGTGTATGTATACCCCGTGCAGGAGAGAGTGTCGGAAAGTTACACCAAAATTATTAACAGTATCCAGGAGTCTAAGTATTATACCACAAACCCGGACGAAGCTTGTATATTCATATTGTCCATAGATACCTTGGACAGGGATCAACTCAGTGTTAACTTTGCGAAAAACATTGGGTCCAAAATTGCCCAGTTGGGACATCTATGGAACAATGGTAGAAATCATGTTATATTTAATTTATTTTCAGGCACTTGGCCTGATTATTCAGAGGTGCTTGACTTTGATACTGGCGAGGCTATCATGGCCAGAGCTAGTATATCAGAATCACGATTTAGACCAAATTTTGATATATCCCTTCCATTAGTTGGTAGTGCTCACCCTCAGAAAGGAGGAGAGAGGGGCTACATTTACACATCAATTAACAACATTCCACCTTTACGGCATTATTTGTTAGGTTTCAAAGGCAAACGTTACTTAGTAGGAGTCGGATCTGAAACTCGGAACTCTTTATACCATATGCATAATGGAGACGACATTGTGCTCTTAACAACTTGCAGGCATGGGAAATTTTGGCAGAAAAAAGCCAGAGAATTAAATGACACCAGATGTGCTGAAGACAACAGAGAATTTGATAGGTAATTTACTGAATGAAGTTTTAAATTCCCATGAAATATCTTGTACTGTAATATGTACATTTAGTCATTAAGATAATAAGATTATTATCCACACAGGTGCTTGTTTGATAGAAGTTTGCTATTTTTCCCTTTAAATGTGAGCAGAATTAGTAGCATATATATATATTTTGTGTATTTAATTTTTTATTTTTAATATTATTATTTTAATCAGATAAATACACACGACTGTATATTCAGGATAAGTATTAAGTAAAACATTGTGAATGCATGTAAAAATGTAAATACATGCAGGCGTGAAAATACAAACAATAAAAACCATCCTTTTAGACCTTTTTGTTCAAAATTGAATCCAGGAAATCTTGGCAATATTATGATAAAAATAATTAATTTTGAAAGATTGAAGATAAACAGCTTGTAATTGATTTTATTGTTATTGAAAAAAGATACCAGTCATCCACATATTCCCAGAACTTAATCTGTTAATTAACAAACCTATAAGTTTGTAAATGGATTGGTTTTTACAGATATTTTAAGTTTAAAAAATGCTGATCACATGATCCAAAATAACCTTTCAAATCCATAAATCCACACTTCATAAAAATCTGCTTGAATGTGAGCGAAACATCGCAAAATATTTTTGAATTTCACCATCATTCAACTTTAAAGGAGCTGCTATATTTGATACTTGGGATTTAAAAAAGGGCTATATTTACTGGTATTATGTTCTGTTTTGCATGTGTATGGATAACGATCAGTTTGATTAAGATAAAATCTTTGATCTGTCACTATGAATTCTTTTTATCAGGGATACATTTACATACAGAGTATAGCAAAGGCCTGGGAATTGTTGATGAACTGAATCAAAGAGTCAGACTCAGATAGTATTAGGCCTGAAAGGGAGACTTCTTCAATAGCTGATCTAAATATATTAATTTTAAGTAACAATGTCATTTTTGTAATTTACGTGATGTGAATTTCTTGTATGCTTGCAACATGATGTCATTAGCAAAACGAAAAATAATGTTTCCATATGAAAAGCTTTGATACATTGATAAACAGATAATGAAAAAGGAAAGGATGCGGTGTTGAAAATGGTATTCTTTAATTTTGTTTGTTTGTTTTGATTTTGTTGGGGTTTTTTTTCCATGGTAAAGTTTGTGGTGAATGACTTTTGGTCTATTTACATTTTCGAGGGCTAGTGGCCAGTTTGATCTGACCTCTGAAACAGAAGGCATTGTGACCTAGATTTAAGTGTTCTAAGTGATCCAGCTGGTCGCTAGCATTGTCAGAGCTTAGTGGTCCAAAAGTTAAGTTGACACACCTTTAAGCTTTCCTGCCTGGTGAAATCCTTTATAATCCTAACCTTTAATCCAACCAGCTGTTTTCGATAAATATGTCTCTCAGGGTTTGTTTTTTCTTCTAGCTGGATCGTAGATTTTTTGATTACTAATAATGTATTGTCTCATACATTTTACGTACATGGAATTAAACACCATTGAGGAAAAAAAAAATGTAATTTAATCATCACAACATTGTTAACATGCCAAATGCCTTGTGAATTTTGTTCATTGATATATGCTGTGTTAATTTCCAGATCAATAACATGCATTCTTTGAGTTGAACTTTGCATTAATACCAGGAGTATTTGCTTTGTTTTTATCAGTCTGTCATAAATTAGTGTAGTCTATAGTGCTGACATTTCCACCCAAGCATTTTGCTTTGTATTTATAACTTAAACCATGCCAAATCAAACAGTGAAACTTGAAATTTTTACGAAGAAAAAAATTGTGAAATACCAGGATTACTTAGATAATATAAATATGCAACAGGACTCGAGACTTTCAGGAATGTCCCTTCAATATTCTATTCTCCATATTTGGGTACATAGTTTAGAAAATGTACTTAAGGAAATTAAAAGTAGATTAAAGCAATTTAGGGATAGGATGGGTCAGGGGATTAGACATTTACATGTACATAATTATGTGTACTTAGTGTAAAATATATATGTAGTTAAATACAGCAGATGACAATGTATTTGGGGCTTAACTTTCTCCAAGAATACACAGGTAATGAGGGAAAGTGCACCTGTTTTTTTTTTTAAAGTAAAAGAGCACACCTAGATATTTAATACGGGCATTCCTTTAATAGATTACCACTTGATAAACATGTCAAGATGAAGGGCTTTCTTACCTCATGGATACAACAGTTTAGCTGAGTTATGATGTACCAGGCATGTGTTCTGAGTGAAGGGGTTTTACTTTTCAACTTGATTGCATGTGCTTGATGCTTAGATCAATCAGAAATCACCAACCATCCTGAAGTTGAAACTACTGTATTAGACACACTTTTCCTGACTACCCCCACCCCCTACCAGTCACTTATACCCAGAGTGGATTTCACCAAAAAATGACATTTAAATATTACATTGCAATTAAGGTATTATAAACATTTTAAATAAAAATTTCATAACGGTTTGCACAAAGTACTGCAAACGTTTGGTGTTGAAAACAAGCAAATTCGAACAGAAGGGTATTTTGCAATACGCAACTGAGGTTTAAGTGACTTTAAGAAAGATTATTTTGCAATTTACGGCCATCTGATTACTTGAGAACTCTTTACTGACTACATGGTTGGGGGGGGGGGGGGGGGGGTTGGGGGGGGGGGTTGGAATCCACTCTTTATTTATCAGTATGAAAAGAGAGCATATTATACATTTATAATCCACTTATGGGTACCCTTTTATCAGCCCTAAATTATATATGTGTCCCATTGTTCAGTAACTTGAACATTGTATTTATCATAGTTTAAGGAGGGCATGTGAATGAACTAAAGATGCATATCAGGTGCCTTTGGAGTGCAAGTGTTTTTTCTTAAGTTTAATTGTTTCAAAGGTTTCATTCAATAGTATTAAGTGGTTAATGAATGCCTTTGTATGTTGTATCTTTTACATATGAGGTCAGCTTTTGTGATTTCATAATCAACAGGAAAGCCCCAATGGTCACTTACCGATACAAAGATGACTTTCTCCTCCAACTAATAAGATTTTTCATAAGAATGAGGTCATAATGTTCATGGATTGGTGCATAAGGAGGGTTGAATATCAAACAGTTTAGTAGTGCCATAATCTCAAGACATGGTTTACTTATTTTTTAAAAAGAATTTTTCAAGGAACAAGATCAGTAAAAATTTAAAGTTGAAAGCCTTTTCAAATTTTTGAAAATATAAAATTAAGTGAAATCCCTGTTCATCATAATTTAAAAGAGTAAAGTTAATAATAAAACAGTAATTCTGTTTATGATCTGCATTTGTGATTCCATGATCTCATAGTCCCAGTATTATAGGGTAATTTTTTTTTTAAAGAAACCTTGAATTTAGTGCAAATATTTTGCAGACTTGACCCAAACAACCCTCTTCATAAGTCATGTCTCCATTGAGTTTCTCACACTTCCTTGAAAGACAGAGTAAGGAAATTGTTGTGGTTAATTTGTATCTTTGCCATAGGTTTTAGTATTTGTGCTAATCCTCTGATTTTTGTGTAATTATAGAGTACACAGCTACTCCGGTTAAAAAAAAAATCACTTTTTAAGCTGATAAATGAAGAAAGGAGCACCCTCACGTCTATCATAATTGCAGTTCTAGATGAGAGTACATATTCTGATCGTCCAATAGCTCTGAATGATCGGGGCAGTGTCTGGTGCCGAGGAGATAAAATTAAATTGCTTTATTGGCAGATATCAAATAAACCATTTTAATATTCATGTATCATCATTGTCAAGATATCAAATGATGTCATTATTATCATTGATTGCAAAATTTTATTTCACATTTAAAAATAAAATCTGATAGCCTTAGTTCACCTAAAGAGGTCTGAGTATGGGGTGGGAGGGTCTGCGGACTCTGCCCTCAAATCCTGTTGAGTTAGAGGATTAGGTGAGGGATAATGCAACTATGCAAGATTGACTATTTATCAATATATGGCTTAAGTCACCGGGCCAGAGGATAAATGTCATTTTGAATCATTCGGTCAATTAGATTTTATTAATATTTCATGAGACAATTATGTCATATTGATAGCAGGTCCATTCTAATGGAGGCAAGTTCTGTCTTTCCCACCAAGCAAGATATACCAGTGATGGTTTGCTGAAAGAAACTGGTAGCTGTTTGGTTAAACATTGTCAGGAAGTCTATAAACTTGTTGACATGAACCTCCGTGTAAAATGACAGCTGATTTCAAAACAAACAGATATGCTTCTGCTGAAACCTGCTGTTTGGTTTGTGAAAGCATCATAAATATTATTATAGTGCCAGATAGTTTAAATTGATGAGAATTTCAATTTAGAGTAAACTGTTAAATAATTGATTGTTTTGAATTATTGCAGAGTGTATTGTATATAGTTGAATACTTCATTTGTATAAATTGAACCACAGGAATGTATACCTGAAGATGCGTTAATCTAATCACATTCTCAGATATAGAGGCAGTATTTTGTAACCATTCTAAAACAAGCTGATTCACTACCAAAATATACTTTTTAATGATTAATAGTTACTAACACAGTATTCCTGAGTCATTAGATTCAATGCCATCAGATTCAACTGTTTTAGTGATGGACAGGGAACACATGGCCCACGTTACGTAGGTTTCATGTTTGGACACAAACATATGTATACATTATAACAGAAATGGAATATTGGCACATGACATGCCACATGCGTATACATGTATCTAATTTTCAGTTCTTCCTTGTTGAAAGCTTAATGGATTTCTTGATGTTTTATTTTGTGGTTTTGCATTTTTAGATATGATTACAAAAAGTTGCTGTACAATGCCACTTTCTGTCTGGTGCCAAGGGGTCGGCGACTGGGGTCATTCAGGTAAGTCTGTCCTCTGAGGAAAACTGCACAGAGATGTCAACATTTTTCAATTGACAATCAGAACTCATTAGCAAAGCAAAAAAAAAAAAAATTTTTTTCCTTGATGTGAATCATGAAAGATATATAGTATTGTACAACTTACAGATAAGGAAATTGGTATAAAAATATTGAGGAATAATTTGAAATTTCATCTTATGTTCATTTTTGAACTGATTTTTTGATTTTTTAAAAAATGAAATAGTAATAAAACATTGTTATTAGGAATTCTGGGTTATAAGAAAAAAAATCCTTCTTTTTCCATGCTTATTTTTTCTCTTCCTCTGGCCCAATCTGACTAATAATTCACCTAACAAGTGTCCCTGGTTAAAGGTTATGCAGTGACCTTGCACCAAATTTCAAGGTTAGAGGTCAAAGTCAGCAGATCTTTGTAAATAAAAAAAAGATCCTAGTCTGGATCTATATGTTCTTCCCTTGGATAAGTTTTTCTCATGATCAACAGTGCATGAACTTGATCTGAGGTCAAGGTCAAAATAGGTGTGTGTGTGTAAAATCGTCCAGAACATTTCACTTCTGTTGGTCCAATATGTCCCATAAATTACATCACTTTAAGAGTGCCTTTGTATAAGGAGTGGGCATGGACCTTGTTCCAAATTTAGAATTTGAAGATGACTTAGTGTCAGGAAAAGAACTTGCTAAGGAATTTGGAATATCACCAAATATATGTTGTCAGGAATTCCTTGAAAAATGTAATAGATATGCTTGGTACCAAGAACCCTCTGTCTCTCTACCATGAAAGGGCAAAGGTCAGGACATTGCGAGGTTCTTGACTTGAACATGAACTAACGAAAGAACCAACAATATTCCATTTATTTTCTTGTTTTGCAAAATGAAATGAATATGAAACATTTGAAGTCTTGTTACTATTTTAGCAAAAATTGTACAGCTACTCAAAAAAAGTCTTAAGAGTCAGAGTTATTTTTCCCAAAACAAATTATCATCACCCAATGAAAGTGTTTCTGATAAAATTGCTACTTACAAAATTCATTCAGAAATTTGAAAATTTCTTGATAAGAGAGCATAAAATAGGCTAACTCTTGTTGTCCTTGATATGGACAAATCAGAGAAAGAACCATTTATAGTTTGGTTTTTTTTTTTTTTGTAAATTTCAATTCTATTGGCAAGGTGTTTAAAGGAGGGAAATCTCTACCTATTATGCATTGAGCAAACAAAAGTTTACTGAATGTCTTTTGGTTTGCGACAAAAAGTTAGATACTCAAGAGCAAAATTTGCTTTCCTTTAAAAAAAAGTGTGACACATCCAAGATTAGAATGTCTGAAGTCATTACATTGGCATTTTCCCCTCCCATCATAAGTTTTCTTTTTATAATCTTGCAAATACAGGTATCATTTACAACTTTAAGATAGTATAAATATTGATAAAATTGTTAATCAAGTAAAATATGCATTCAATGTAATAATTAATTGAATATTTTGAAACATGAATTCAGTATGTATACACAAAGCAAGGGATTAAGAAATAAAGAAAAAAAATGTGCATATAAACAGAATTTAGTGGTAGTATGAATTTTGAATAAAAGATTATTTTTTTTGACATTTTCTGAAGTGAAATGACATTAGAGAAGTAAGATATTGCATTTTCTCATAAACTAAAAATATATATGTGCATTTTGAAGGTGGAAAAAAATGTCCATATAGATATAAAGACCTGTTGCTGACATTTTACAGGTTTCTAGAGGCCCTTCAGGCGGGATGTATCCCAGTCCTTTTAAGTAACGGCTGGGAATTGCCGTTCGCGGAGGTTATTGATTGGAGGAGGGCAGCAGTGTGGGCAGATGAAAGACTCCTGTTTCAGGTATGGGCCTAAATTAATGAAGTGCGAAGAAAACTATCTCTTTTTCAGCTCTTTTGATGTTTGCAGTTGTGGAGTATGGTGGGAAGTTAGTTTGGGGTTGTGTATCTATAACTTTGTGATTTAGATTTTAATGTGTAATATTGTGATGTATGTTTTCTTTTTATGACAGTGTTAGCGGGAGAAAGGGGTTCAGAACTGATGGATTTTTTTTTCCAATTTCATAATTGATAAAAATGTTTAAATTTTGTAGTAAATGACTAGAAATTTTAAAAATATTTTAAATAGGAATTTCACACATTAATAAACAGATATACCCAATTATGTAAAACTAAATGAACTTATTCATTGTTTCACTGAACCTGGGAATTTCATCTTAGCGTTGTGGAGGGAGGAAAAAACTGAGAAAATTAAAAGAGAAGCAAATAATCATTAATTGGCTTAGTATTTATATTACAAACATTTTTGCCATGTGTTTTGTCCATAAACCAAACGAGAAGATTCCATGGGATTCCATTTAAATAGCAAAGCAACATGTGCGTATATATACAGGTAGACGGCTTGATAGATTTTGGAAGTACTGAATAGACCCCCCTCTTTACGTACAGGCAGGCTCCACAGATGCGCAATCAAGTCTAATGTTCACAGAGTTAGAAAGATTTGAAAATTCAATTAAGAGGAAAAATAATTGATGCATCTTTAATGTTTATCTTATATAATGCAGTTCATGACACCCCATTGGCATCCAATCATGAATTCCTGCAGAATCTGCAATTAAGATCTGGCACCATATGCATGATTTTTTGAGTGCATCCCTGTATTTTGGGGGAAATTGTGAAGATTTTCTTTGTAAGAGGGTGAATTTTTAGGTGAAATTAATTTTCTGCTGTTAGTTTTTGACACATTTATTATCAGGAAAAAGGCATTTATAGAAATATAAACAAGTGACTGAGTTATTTTTGTCCCTGATGAAGTTTTGAATAGACATTCATGTTGATGTACATGTATGTATATCAATGTAAAAATTATATGTGCTGAGGTCACTTGGTAAATAAGACCATACCCCTTTGCTTCAGTATGATCAAGTTAACATCCTAGACACATTAAAAGGTATTTATTCTAGGTCACTGCACAGGAATAATTGGAGTGATGTAGGCTATTTTTCTTGCAGGCTCTTAAGAATAAAAAAAAAATCTTAACCCTTGATCTTTAAGTTTATTTGAATCTGTGTCAACCCAGTGGCTCTGTCATCAGTGATGTAGACTATAGACAATCACATGACATCCTTGCTTTAATTACCATGTGTTGCTTATTACTTAATTTTTGTCCTGAACTGACTCCTTCTTCATTAACATAGACAATTGAATTACATCAGATAATTATGTCTCAGTTACCGTCATTATAGTGCATCACACCACTGTCTCTACATGAGAGGTACTTAAAAACTTCAATGTTTGTCTTCACATAACCTGTGGCCCCCCACTGTAATACATCCTCTTTAGTAGGGGCTGGGAAAAGGTCTTCAAGACAGAGGTCATAAAATGTACTGCTTGAGTGGGAAAAAAATATCAAGTGAGCCATATATACCAGATGTTAATGATTAAATATACATTTGTCATTTCTGCAGTTTACATGTATATCAATTTATGTGTACATAGTAATTTGTCTAAATGTACAGATTTTCCTGAACTTCAGGCATACATATGTATGTAATAGATTAATTTTGGCTTTACCTTAATTTTCATTGATCTCTCAGTTCTCAGAAAAAAGGCAGTCCTATGCTGATACATATGTACATATGTCTACTGTATATAGTTACTCTTCTGAAGATTTGGCTGAAGATTCAGTTATTAACAAACTATATATACATGTATGTCTATGCAATTATTCAGCTTGACCTTTGCATCAAGTATTTGAGCTTAATTTGGCTGGAGGACTAGTAGTTCTGCATATTTTAGTTGGAAATGAAATTTTTTGTATCCCTTTAGACAAAGATTGGAGTATACATTGATCAAACAGATAGATGAAGAATTCTGCTTCATGGTTGTATTTATATGCAATAGCATTTAACTTCCCATTCTCCTATAGGCTATAATTCCTGTGGATTGAATGTAATTAACTTCAGTTTTTTTCTTAGGACTTTCTAGGTTCTCCAAGTATTGACACATGACTTCAGTTCTAACTTGGTTTACCAGGAAACCATTGATTTTTCAACTTTTATGGCTTTAAAATGAGGATTTATACTGTAAAAAGATACTAAGCAAAAAGAATGGGTTTTATTTGAAAGATTTCTTCAGCAAAATTGAATCGCAGTCAGAAAAAGACAACTTTCTCATCTAAACTAGATGTTCTTAGTATTTCTTTCAATACTGTAAAATTTTTATGGGCAATCATTGCTCTGTGAAAACTTTATTTTATTTGGCTGCTATGATATATTCAGATGTGAAATTTATTTCATATTCTTGAATGAGCTACCATTTCTGATGGTGGGTGGGTTAGCAATATCAACGGCAATCACGAAATAATTAGTTATTTTGATGTGAAAATCCCCTAGGAAGCACGCAATTAGTCTTAATTGGCATATCACAGATGAAATTCACATTGGAGCACTGTTGTTACTTTTTTCTGCCAACTCATTTTTTAGCCATTATTTTGAAATGAACATTGCACCAGAATAATGTTATTCGGCAAAGAACAAAATTGTTATTGTGTTCAGAACTTTTGCATTCAAGGTGGAACGCCTCTGCACGGGGAATTCAAACGTTTCGGAGATTACAGACTGTTTATTCTGTCTGATAGGGTCACGCGAGGTCATTTAATCAAAGTACCGTTTTATCTCTAGTCAGTGGCCCCCCATTCAATGATACTCCAGCTTTGGCAACAGTAGAATGTTACTTGCATTTAATTCAACAGTTTGTGACTTCTAAAGCAGACAGTGCTAATGTATTTCTCAAAACATCTAAATCTTAATGGAATGGTGTCCACTTCACCGATTTGCAAAGAGTTTCGTCATTTTTTGCATCTGAGTGCAATATACACCTGATGTAAAATCCAAGTAGACCCCTATCTGGTTTAGTGGTCTTGTAGCATATTCTCATGTACCGGTATGTACATGTACCTCAAGAATTAGTAGACCCAGTGGATATTCCATTGCCAGTTTATAGTTTTAAAAATTGTTCTCATCAGCAAGGACACAGTGTTAAGAACCCTCTGTACACTAATGAAAAATGCTTTTAGGACTTTGAAAATATTATTATATTGCATAAAGGTGAAAATATTAAATTAATTTGTTTCATTTTCAACATGGGATACATGTTACATGTTGAAATTCATTCTCCCTAGGAAAAATATTCCAGGATAACAAAGTACAGTGTAATGCTAAACAGAAATCATTGTTTACATACATGGGGAAAACACGTGAAAATAAAGTATGTGTTTCCATTTACTTCATCTTGTTTCAATATAATATGTTAAAGAATACTGAAATGATTACAACTGTTGTATTACACTGTAGAGTTTTAAATCAAAGGGCAGATCACTCTAATTGCATAAAAGTACCATGGAATTGTAATTCTTTATTGTACAGTGTATAGAATGTGTATGTCTAAGGTAGATTTTAACTTAAAAAGTATTGTTTAATTCAAGTAAGATGAATATTTTTTCAACTCATGCATTACCAGATTTTTTTTTATGTTCTAGTGTATTTTATATTGGTAAATTGAGAAGACATTAACAAATGCAAATATGCATTTGTTGTCAAAAATCATGAATGAGTCACTTAATGGACTCTCTAGGCTGATATAAATGTGAAAGTAAATAGCTCTGAAAAGGTTTACATAAGTAATTCATGAACAAATATACTTCTGCAATATATAAGAGTTAGTTTACAGTAATAGTTCCAAAAAATAAAAAAATAAAACCAGATAGGTTAATCAGGTTTGTCTGTCCATTAAAGAGGAAAAGTACATGTAGGCAGATATTGGGAAGAATAACAAAACATGTAAGCTTGTAATTGGTATAAAACTAATGAAATATGACACTTAGCAGTGCTTGATTTTAACTATTTGTGCTTTTATATTGAAGAAAAATGCTAAAATAATTGTTCCTGACTGCGTCATGTATGATTAATAAGTACATAAGTGACATATTTCACATGTCACATCTCCTACATAAGTGCTCAGTAGGCAAATTTTTAGTACATCAGTGTAGATTAAGTTTTATATTGACAATTTTTACATTTATAGAATGCATAAATACAGAAACAATATATACAGTCCTGTAAAATCACATATTTTTGTGGGGTCAATTTTCCTTGTTTGAGGGGGAAAATTTGGTTCGTTTATGGTTGAGATGTTGAGTTGTTATAAGTATGAAATTTTACACTTTGTGGAGGACATGATTTGGAGGTTTTTCATACCATGAAAACAATGAAAATTAAGCCCCCTCAAAATTAGTGATTTCACAGTAGCTGCTATTTTCATGTTGCATTACTAATGAACCCTGGGGGGGCATTCATGTCCTATGGAAATATTTCTAGTTCTAAATATCATTTTCTAAGCATCAGACAGTGGGAATAAATTAAAAAAAAAGGTCTATGATTACCCAATCTGATATGTACATGTACATTATTGCAGACATCTTCTGACAAGTGGCTTCAATTAAGTCTGTAAATAATGTTCTAGAAGAAATAAAACTTTAAATTAATTGGATGGAGAGAAAAAAATGCCTTGCCACTCATCATTGACCAAGTTTTTTTTTTGTAAGATGCCTACTCTGTTACCCTATTCTAGTGTTACTGTTAAATCTTATGGTGGCCTATTGATAGTTAATTGTTCTACATGTTAGTCATGATTGGTTAGATACTGTGGAGCCATTTTAATTTGTTGGGGTCAGTGTTCATGGGCAAACAAAATTTTACTGGTTTCTGGGTAAGTAATTCTGTGGATAACTTGTTTATATGGTAGATTCAATGAATAAATACTTATACAAAATAATTGTTCATGGGGATGTAATTTCGTGGGTAAAGGTGACCTAAGAAATATACAAACTTTGAACATCCACAAATAATGTCAATTCCACAATGTACAGTATTATTAATTTGTTGCTGTCCTTTTAATATTTCAAACAAAAATCCAATTGCAATACCACCCTCCTCCCTTTTCCCTCCTCACTCATGTGCCTTGCTGCTTTCAGTAACAAATCAAGAGGTTTATTGAATGATGATCTTAATGGTTTTTAAGTAACAGTATTTCAGATAGCTATAGATTTATAGTAAACTGTGTAAGCCTTTAAGTAATATTTTAAAAGCATAATTATGATTGTGCATGTATGTTGCCATGGATAGTGTACATTTAGTTAATATGTTGACGGTGCGACCGTTGGGGCGAGCGCATTGTTCACTTCATTTTAAGATCCACCTCTTCAAACCGGCATGAGACATTTGGAACGTCTAGACTGTGACGTCACATGACGTCGTTTGTTAGTTGATTTTCCATAAACAAAGTTTAAAAAGTGCGAAGATTTTAGCAAAGAATGTTTAATCTACTATCTGTATGCAATATCCATTAAATTAAGGTGAGTTTATTTTTTGTGAATTTTTAGTTATTGTTACCGCGTGAAGAAAGTTAGCAGCAAGAACAAGAAGCGATGCATTGTGGGTCTAGAATTACTGTGGAAAAAAATTCTATTGAATGAATGTGCACTGGTCCGAATTTTCTCTTCGCCCAGGCGTTGTCATTAGAGCTTGCAGTGACGAGCGGCGCTTTGCGCCGCTCGCTGCGCTCACTATAAGGAATACTTGCTTATAAAAATGTCGTATTATTTCACTAAGTATAAATAATGTGAAAAAATGAAATTTTTGAATAGTATAAATACTATAAAAAAAATGAAATTTTTGAATAACGGGTAGTTGTAACAATATATTCAAGGATGTAAAGATGCTTTACATTGTATATGTATTAGACTACAACCTACAGTTGGAATAACCATGTAACATATCTTCCAAGGATTTACTTCACACAAAAGCAAAGAAGATTGAAAAATTTGAACATGCAGTCTTTATTTTGTCATAACATGTACAGATACATGGCAGTCACTGATTCAGGTGGGGGCACTCCTGGTATGTGCCCCAAATTTTACAGAAAAAAAAATAAAGTTTAAACTGTCATACATCAATGTAATAAAGATAAAATTACAGTCATTTATCTTTCACAATAAGGTCTACTAATTGCCAGCTATTAGAAGTTATGCCCCACCGTTCATTGTCGTTGACCAGCTTGTGACCTCAAAGGTACTCAGACCCCTTGCCATCTAATATACCCCCCCCCCCCCCCCACAACACAACACAACACAAGATCCTGGATCTGTGCCTGCATGGTGTACTAAACTGTTGCCCTTGTTCAAGTATTTTGTGATGCATACCCTCCTTATGAGTACTAAAGGTTGTTGAATAGTGAGTTCAAAGACAGCATTTCTTTGTGTCAAGTACTCTGTCTAATGAAACTGGGGGAAAAGGATATACATTGGTTTTACAAATACATGTACATAGAAATTGGTCAGAAAATTACTTTACATGGTCACCAATATACCATGTACACTAGGTGCTCCTCAAGTAATTTAAAAAAAACGATGGATGATAAGTCTGTATAGGTTAACCCCCTCTTTACTATAAAATCAACTGATTTTATGGTATAAAGGGGTAAAACTTTCATATACTTATCATTTGTCATTTTGGGAATTAGATGGGGAGGACATGTGCATGTACATGCAGTGTCTTCCAAAGAAAGATCCAGATATATTGTTTTGTTTTGATGATGCACTGTAAAAGACGGAAAATATATACATGTGATATGTTTATTTACATGTGCATTCTTTAATTACAGGTACCCTCACTTGTCCACAGTCTCTCACAACCAGCCATTTTTGCCATGCGGCAACAGACACAGTTCCTGTGGGAGGCTTACTTCTCCTCCATGGACAAAATCATCCACACAGTTCTCGAGGTACCCCCATAGGGAAAGTTAGCTTTAAAGTGATTAAGTAGAGAGAATGCTACTGAGATTTTAACAGTATACACTCATTTAAGTTAGCACAGTTATGAAAGAGAATCAATGTACCACAGCATGCACATAATCCCGTTTCAGTTTAATAGCTTTGAAGAAAAACCTAGAGGAAAATCCCTCTCTCTCTTTGTTTTCACATTTAATACTTTATTTAAAGTTTTTAAAAACTTTAAATTACCATTAAATGATCACATTTAGAAAATACCCTGCTCGTTGGATTTAAAAGCAGCAAAGTGCCTCGCTGATTAAGAAGAAAAAAAACATGATGTTTTAATGTTATGAATTAGAACAGTTCTTTTTATAGCTACAGTCTGTAAACGTCTTTGTCTCAGGGAAAAGTACATGAACATAGTGACTGTCAGAATATTTTGGCTACATGTCTAATTATAGCATTATTCTTAAGTGCCATATTTCATTCATTCTGCAACATAGGATTTTTTTTTGACTGTTAGTGAAATACCTTGCAGAATTTACATAAAAAGCAGAATGTCTACATGAATGGAATGAGCTTGTCTCTCAGGTTTCTAGTTATGATGGTTTTTTGTGATATGAAGTGACATTTAAGGTCATGTTGTATTTGGCAGCATGTTTGAATTTACTTTAGGTTCTCGGAACACCTTGGCTTCCCCAAGAGCTAATTTAAAGGGCATAGAATCTAGCTTTGTTATCTTTTTGAAATCGCCTACTGTGTAAATTTCAAGCAGCAGAGAGTTTTTTTTCCTTGTGTATGTAGGTATAAGCAGGTTGTTAAGATTTTTTTTTTTTTTTTGAGATAAGGTATTAATTTACTAGGCATTGTGAGATGAAGTTATAAATACTTTGTTGTGGGATTTCAGATTGTGGTCTAGCACTTTTGAGTAATAAATCTTTTTTTGTTTGACTACCTTGTCTGATTGGCTTGTTAAATAGTTTACAGAAAGTCATGGGAATTTCTCTTAGCAAATAACATTTTTTTGTTAAACGTGGACATCCTTTCATTTGCTAGGGGCTTTCTCAAAACTGAATTTTTAAAATCTATACACTGTCTTATGTGAATTAATGGTTGTTATCTAAAATGCATACGTGATAATTTTACAGTTGCTGGTCTTGAATTATTTTTGATAACGTAATCAATTGCAAATGGGGAAAGTTTTCCAGATGCAGACACATATGACTGCGAGTTGATTTGACTTCTTTATACAATTAATAAGTAATTAACTCATCAGACTGTCTGTCCATATACTAATATGGCTGAACTTCAATATATTGAACACCGACATCCCTAATACCATGGATGATGGATATGTTGAAGTTATTTTCAAGCCCCAAGAACTTTTTCCTTAGTATTTTACCCTAAATATCTCAAATCCTCAGATGTAACACAGTTTTTTTCTTGGTCCCATCAAGTTTGAGATAACGAGGTTTGATTGTACATGTACAAAGTTTTAATTTTTTTTAAACTTATGTAGTTTCATCATTGAACTTAACTTGGAAAGAATTTCAGACTTGATCTGTGATACTTAATGAGCAGTACATATATCAAGAGACTTTTAATTTTGTGATGCATTCAAATGCAGCAGCAAAATGTTTCATAAACACATCTTACATTTCAGATAGTGAAAGACCGAGTGAGAAGCTACTTTTCACGGAATTCCGTTCATTGGAACAATTTTCCTGGTGCTTTAAACCTTCTTCCGGAATACTCAGATGTGCTTCATACATATCCCTCATTTTACAGACAGTATGCGTACAAATCCAACAACCAGTTTACGGTGATTGTGTACGCCACTTCCCCGGTGCTTTTGTCGTCTGCTCCACTGTTTCGGTTGATCCGGACAGTAGCCAAATCTACATTTGTACAGAAGGTATTTTTTCTGAGGTCTAAATTTTCTTTTTTTTTCCTTTCTTTAACAAATTGAACATAGGGATGGTATAAAAAAGTTGTGTAATTACATTATGTTTAAGGTTTTTTTCTTCCAGTTTGAAAAAAACAGCTTAGCAGATATTTTCTACCTGCTTTTTGTGATGGAGAAATGAGATTGAACTACTTAATTTCTGACTCTGTACACTTTATAAGTTTTGTGGTGAACAGAGAGAAAGCAACTCTAGGCTAAAGTCTTAATGATGTGTCTTTGCCATTGAAAAAACATCTAATGAAGCAAAAAGGAAACATAAGATAGAAATTCTCTGGAGACATTAAAGACACTCTACAGAACAGGCATAAAAGAAATGATTCTCCCTTGCTGACCTGAGTGATTCGCAGTAAATTGGTTACATTGGGAGTGTAAAATCCATTTATTTCCTCTTTTTTTCTGAAAAAAATTCCCATTAAACCTGATGGACATGTAATTTGTTCTAGCTAATTTGGGACTAAATTCAGGAAAATCGGCCAAAATGATCTTCAGCAAGTTGGAAGACAAGTTCACAATTCTAATTGCATTTGCAGGGCTCAACATTAATGTTTGTCCGATACACTTTGTCCATTACATTTTGTGATCAAAATCAATCTCCAGACACACTTGTCTGATCGGACAACTAACATTTTCCTTTAGCCGTTATATCATAACAATTTTAAGGTTTCAGTCACACCTCATTGGATATTGTTAATGGATGAGACTAAGTTACAGACAATTCTAGCACATTTTTAAATCAGTCCTGTATATATTTTCATGATTGAACAATTTATTAAAATTATATAAACAGATCTATAGCTAATTCAGTCTCTATAATTTTCTTTACAAGTGTTCACAATTGGACAAGTAAAAAAAAAAATGCATTCGGACAAGTAACATTTGTCGGATGGACAAGTGGATGTTTTACTTAATGTCCAGCCCTGATTTGCGAAATTCCTTACATTGTGTTATTTCTTACAACCTTCACAGACCGTGGTCTTTTTTTCAATAAGATTGAAGAAGTTGTCTCCCTTGCATAATGTGGCATAATGAAAGTGATGCAAGTCTTTGATCATTTTTATTTCACAGATTGTGGTCATCTGGAACTGTGACACCCCTCCACCCCCCTCCTACCAGTGGCCAGCTGACCTTGGTATTCCTATACTAGTCAAAACTAAAATCCAGAGGGTAAGAATTATGGATATTTAACATTAATTTATCAACAGTTGTACATAAAGAAATTTATCATTTTGACAAAGTACATTTAATCATATTTGTGTTTGCAGTCTGTCAGTGCTCGATTTTATCCCTATGAAGAGATAGAGACAGATGCTGTGTTCAATTTAGACGAGGACTCTCTTCTGACAACAGATGAGGTATGATATTGACCTTATGGTAAAAAAAAATGGAAATAAATTGGAGGTATTTTATACTGGTAAAACAATAGAGTTTAAATTAATATTTATTGCTTAGCTAATCTACAAAATATGGGTTTCGTTAAGTAACCACTGTCATCTGTCCATACATCAACACTTTTCTGTGAGTTAAATATCATAGTACTTTTTAACCTACAGACTTCATATTCACCTCACAATTAGCTGGAAGATAGTTAGATAAGGATTTTCTTTTTCAATTATACTCAATTTAGGGGGCACTTAGAGAAAGTCCTAATTCAAAAAAAGAAAATTTGGTTTTATAAATAAAAATTATGTGATGCAAAAGTTAAGGTACTTTAAGAAAAGAGTTATTAAGAATTGCAAGAAGTAGATTACTGATCAGAGCAAACTTCAGGGCCCTTGATAATTTGTCATATTGCTCTGTTCATGATTATTACAAATAACGTCTTTCAGATCAATTTTGCCTTCAAAGTTTGGAAAGAATTTCCTGAGAGGATTGTTGGATATCCGGCCAGGAATCATTATTGGGACGAAGCCAAGAACTCGTGGAGTTACACTTCAAAATGGCTGAACGAGTACTCAATGATCCTTACTAGTGGTGCTATTTATAATAGGTAATGAAAAGGGGGAATTTTTTTTACCAGGTTTCAATCTTGTTCGCTTTCATTTCTTCAATTTCTGCAAGAACCTGTCTTGTTCATATGAAAAAAATTATGGATTTCAGTTGGAGCATGTATAATTGTCAGGGTGTTTATATGACCTTAATGGTTTGTACTTACAGATGAAAAATAAAAGGAAAAAACGTAAAACATTTTGGACAGCATATACCATAAAAATCAGCCCCAAAAGGAAATTTTCAAATTCTCTAACTCCATGATAAATTGATGATGTAGTTTACTGGAATAAAATGAGTTTTGATTTTTGTCTAGGTACTATAACTTCTTGTATACAAACACCTTAAGTCCTTCTGCCTTACAAGTTGTGGAGAAACTGCAAAACTGTGAGGATATTCTAATGAACTTCATAGTCAGTGATGTCACAAAACTCCCACCAATCAAAGTCACACACCGCAAGGTTGCCAAGGAAACTATGCTGCCAGGCAAATCTTTGGCCAATTGGTCTACAAATGAAGTCCGGTTCAAACAGCGACAGTCATGTATCTCGTCCTTTGTGGAGATATTTGGATATATGCCGTTAGTTCGCTCCAAGTCCCGAATGGATCCAGTGCTGTGGAAAGACCCCGTCTCCAACTTAAGGAAAAAATACCACCAACTGGAAGTGATATAATTATTAAAGTATTTCTTTAGAATTTTTTAGGTAGATTTGTACTTCTCTTTACATGTTGATAAGTTTTTGACATGAATTTTAGAATTGTAGGAAGTATACAGTTCATTTGCAATATGCAATTTTGAATTATTTTTAGAAATTGATTAATTAATTGTTATGGAAATAATTATGTATTATACACGTATCTTATTTGAATATGATGAAGATATGTACAATGTATGTATACTTTAATGTATTAATTTAAGATTTTATGTATTATAAATATCAAATACATGGAAACAGATGAAAATTTTATTACCACATTTATTTATTTTACAAAAGCTTACTGGATGTGCATTTATTTCTTTTGCTGCATCATTTCATTGTTTGAATTTTCAGATATAGGAATGTGAATGATTTTTCAATATCAGTGTGTCAGCAGGTATGAATCGGTCATAATTAGAAAAAAAAAACACTAAAATAGTTAATTAATGTTAGAAGATGAATATTTAGATGTACCAATTAAATACAAGCTTATTTGCTGCTTTCACTATTATGGGATTTTCAAAAAAAAAAGAAAGACATTTGTTGAAGCCATACTTAATTTAGATTAGCTTTGAATTTATAGAGGAAAAATTGCATAGCAATTTATAATATCCAGATAGGTCATAATGTATTATTAGAGGTTTTTAATGTGAAGGTAAACTGAGTTTTATAGGCTGCATTGTGGTAAATATATCGTTAATTATTCAGGAGTTCTATGAAAAAGGTAAACTGATCTCTACGGAAATTTTTATCATCGTCCGTGATAAGAGTTTTTCATTCCTTGAATTTGTATAGTTTTTTGTCTCTTTTTGTTATGTATAACTAGAATGCTATCATAGACTCAAAAAGAGAGAGAGAAAAAAAATATTGCTGGATATTTTTGGAAGCATGTTTTTTTTTAATCATATCTGTGCAATACAAGCATAATTGGCATAATCGATTTCATGTTTTAGATGTATATATATATATATTCTTTCAGCTTTACAGAACAAATCTTGTAGACTTTGCATGCATTATTATACTGTGTTGTGCTTTATAATACCTGAACATGTATTAGAGATCACCAAATATTTTTAGTTCACCTATCTCCTCTGACATTGGGAAGTGATTCTATTTATTAGTTTACTTTATACTTTGATTATTTTGCATTTTGCCAGTTGCCACCATTTATACAGTGTATATATATCAACTGAGGATCACACAAGAAGATATTATCCATGTGATACTATATTTATAAATTACGCAGAATCTATATATATATATCATGGACCTACCTCCATTGTTATATGAATATGGTTCTTTGATTTTATGAAATATTGCTTACAGTAGATGGGTTTTTGTATCAGTGGAATACAATTTTATAACTTTACAACATGAAGTAGAATACAATAGAGGGTGTTAAAAGTAATTTGCAAAACATAAATGGTGCAAAAAAACTATTTCTTATATTCAGAGTTTCTAACTGAATATCTATATTTTAATACTATTACGTACTAGAGGCCCCACTGCTAGATAATTTAATACCATGGTTAAGAATGAAACATCTGAAATGTAATATTGGACAGAGAAATGCAAGTTCATTCTACATCTATATTCAAATTATTCCTAGAAGTACATGTACCAGTTTGTTTCGTGTGGTACTTTCATGTATCAAAAACATTGCAACATCATTATTCAAACCTACACTTAAAATTTGGGCTTATGCTTTGCAGTGAGTTGTCAAAACAGTAGATGCATTTTGTGTTTAATAGTGTGGTTTTGATTAATTTTAACATACGCTATAAAAAAATTTTTTTTTTTTTGATAATTTGTAATAACCAAACATTTTGTACTTTATTTTAAATATTTATGTTCAAAACAATAATTCCACTGTTTAGGTATCATAGTTTGTCAATGTATATATCAAAGCTGTTTTGGTTGGATGGAAATGAAGATCTTAATACATGTATGCATTTGAGCTACTGAAAAAAAGTATAATTGGGACCAAAAGCATTTTAATTGTATCAGTGAAACTATTTCTGCATAACAAAGGTATTTGCACACATTAGCTTTTCTTCCAACAGATTAATATTATATCATATTATGTAAATTGATAATGGTGTATCTAGACAAACAGTTTTAGTATTTCATTCTTCATTGATTTCTCAGTTTTCACCAGCACATCATTGTAAATGACAGTCAGACTTCAGCAGTGCTTTGCGAACACAAACCCTAATTTTACTAGGTTGTAATTTCTTTGTTTTAAATGATGAATAAATCTTGTGCCAAAACTTATGTACATATACTAGATGGAGTTTTTCTTAATTTGTTGCCACGTCTTACATTTTTATTGTCATGTGTAAATGTAAACGCTTACAAGATCAAGAAACATACAATTTAAATAGGAGTGATTTATATGTAAAGCTTTTGCTTTAATACAATGCCAGTTGTATGGGACACTCATTCAAATGGCAAACATTGTTGTACTGTTTTTCATATGAAGTATTATGTACTTTGACCAGTAGACAAGTGACATCCTTTAAATTGAGAAGGGTGATTATTTCTTATTTTGTTCTCAATGACAATTGTAGCAGGTACCTATGTAAAGCCTTTTTGTGTAGTCTGAAGAAAGTCTGTCTTGAAGCTTGGATTTATTAATTATTTTATTGTGTAAAGAATCCAGATTTCACATTAAAAACATGATTAGGATGTACATGAAGTAATATGAAAAACTCCGCAATTTTGATAATGGATTTGGTCAAATACTGATGTTTGACTTTGTAAAGGACTAGTGTTTACATACAATTTTTTTTTTTCAGAACTTCCAAGGTTTTAAAATCCACAAAACAGACAAGTCATTCAATTCACCTTTGGGATATGTTGGTAAAATATTCCAGTGAGTGAATATTTTCTAATTATAGATATTCAAGGGCTTTGATTTTTTTTTTTTTGGTAAGCGTTAGAAGCCGGGATTGATAGTGATGCAGACTTACATTTAAAATTTTCCTGATATTTCATGATTTTTAAGAAATACAACACCTACTTAGGTTTTGTTACCATTATATTTTGATTAAAATCACATTTTCTACTGAATTGTTTTCCTTTTTTTTCTCTCATTGTTTTAGTTGTTTTGAACAATATTGCAAACACATGCCATTGTATAGAATGTGTATTTGGAATAATCTTGAACGTTTTCTCTCTAGGCTGATGTTTACTATGTGAAGATATACAAGGTTTCTACAGAATGAGACTGTCAATTTCATAATTGTATGGAATCTTTTTTTAGCTCACCTCAACAAAGCTGATGGAGCTTATGTAATACCCTTTGTGTCCAAGGTTAAAGTCTTTGGAGCAGATTTCTTTCCAAGTACTTCAATGACATTTATTGATCAGAGATGCATTGGGGATGCTTTTAGTATTATTCATTGTACCCATCAGATTACAGATGCTGCATTTTCAGCCAAAGAAAGACTAGATTAATGTTTTTGGAGAAGGTTAACAGATCTCATTTCCAACTATAAGCCATACATTGACCAAACTTGCATTGATGATACATCTAAGGATGAAGACTACCAAGCTTGCTTCAGGTGCTGGATCTGACCTACTTTTGCTGCATGAATGATCAGCTTCAAGTTTTTGAAGCAGGTTCATTCTAAAATAATTGTAAGCCCTATATTAACCAAACAATTGATGCATTTGCTGGACTTGCTTCAGACGCTGGATCTGACCTACATTTTCCAGATGAGTTACCATGTTAAAACTTTGGAGCAAGTAGATTCAAGCCCTACCTGGACCAAACTTAGATGGATGATGCTTAAATTGACCACCTACTCGACTTGCCTGGGATGCTGGAGTGACCAGGTTCAAGTTTTTGAGCAGGCCCATTACAGAAAGTGTGGGTTTACTATGAGCCAGATACGGTCAGGGGAAAGAAAACATGTTCTTGACAAGAATTTACACAGATATTTTCTTTATCTAAATGGGCCCAAGATCACTGTATACACTTTTTTCCACAGGCACACTAAGGATGAAGTTTGAAAGATTGATCCGAAGGGGTGGGGGTGGGGGGGGAATATATTCTGAACAATGATATAAGAGAGACGGACGAAACACCACTTGCATCATAGAAAAAGTAAAGAATAACAGTAAATCAGAATATGGACTGACATATACTTCCAGAGGAAGTTTGCGGGGGGGGGGGGGGTTTAGAGCAATCACCTTTTCCATCTGTCCGTGCAATCTTGTCCGGGCTATAACTTTGTAATGGAGAATTACTGGAAGCTGATGCTTGGTACAGAAATTTCTTATGACTCCAGAGTGGGTCTTAACATATGATCATTCTGGTAAGTTCAAGGTCACTCGTATAAAAAGTGTAAAATTATTCATAACAATAATTTTCTAATGGAGAAACATTGCATGTCCATATTTCACTGAAAATTACTAATGACTAGATGGTGTGTCATCTTTTTCACCTGGGACTTTTTGGCAAGTTCAAAACCACATTACAAAATTTGAATGGAAACTTCAAATGCTGCGGGGGTGTTATTTTGTGGGCTGGCACACAGTACCTCTAGTTTTATCAATAACCATTACCTTGCGTTACATTTAGGCAACATTATTGACAGTTAATCTACACATCATAACCTAAATATTAACTAAACATTATGAGAGCAAAAAGATTTATTAATATCTCTCCATTCTTGCTTGGTTTTCCTGCAATTGTATGTTGATGTAGAAATTCTATCCACCATTTCTTAGCATCTAAAAAATGAAAGAAAAAGTGAGCAAGCTCACATACCCCACACTCCCCAAAACTCGACAAGAATGGCACAGTGCATTTTAAATACACAGTATAATGCAAAAAGGGGCATTACTTGCAAAAAATCATCACATCAAAACTTCTTGCATATAAGGACATTCAAATCTTTGTATGTTACAAATTTAATTGGGCTGAAGTTTCTAGATGAATAATGGGATCAAAATTTCTTGTTAATATACAAATCTATACATTATGTCTGAAATACCTACAAAGTTTCAGGAAATTCAGTGCAGGAGATATGCTGACAAACTGTTATTTAAATTCCAGTGATTTCGATTTGTTAATGAGTGTGTAAGTCCATGTCCAACACAATTTACACTTTTAAATAATTGATGGAAACAAAATTATGATGTAGTCATATGAATTTGTTTATATACTGTACTTATGAAATTATTTAAGTATTTGAAAGGGGGGGGGGGGAGAACTATCCAAGATTGTGTGTGTGTGTGTGTGTTAAATCATTAATATTTTGATCTCAAAATCAATAAGGGTCTTTTAAGTTCATAAAATATTTCACATAAAATTTCATTGCAAAAGCTGATTCCAGTGGATTTCCTTATTACCTAGCTGGAAAGTTTCTTCAATAATAGGCAAATCTCTTAAGGCAAAAATAATGGAATTTCCTGGTAATATGCATATCTACACACTGTGTACTAAATATCTGCAAAGTTTGACCAAATTCTGTGCAGCGGTTTAAGAGGAGTTGCACTAACAAACTGTTCATCTCTTTATTCAAGATATGGCTAAAAATCTAAGTTGAAAAGTGCCGAAATTCCCAAAAAAATAATGGAATCGGAATTTCCTGGTTATATGTACATCTACACATTGTGTACTATATATCTGCAAAGTTTGACCAAATTCTGTGCAGCAGTTTAAGAGGAGTTGCACTAACAAACTGTTCATCTCTATATTCAAGATATGGCGATAATTCTAAGTTGAAAAGAGCCGAAATTCTCAGAAAAATAACGGAATCAGAATTTCCTGGTAATATGCATATCTACACACCGTGTACTAAATATCTGCAAAGTTTGACCAAATTCTGTGCAGCGGTTTAAGAGGAGTTGCGCTGACAAATTGTTCATCTCTATATTCAAGATAAGGCCAAAAATCTAAGTTGAGAAGTGCCGAAATTCCCAGAAAAATAATGGAATCGGAATTTCCTGGTAATATGCACATTACACATTGTGTGCTAAATATCTGCAAAGTTTGACGAAATTCTGTGCAGTGGTTTAAAAGGAGTTGCGCTGACAAACTGTTCATCTCTATATTCAAGATATGGCCAAAAGTCTAAGTTGAAAAGTACCGAAATTCCCAGAAAAGTAATGGAATCGGAATTTCCTGGTAATATGCACATCTACACATTGTGTGATAAATATCTGCAAAGTTTTACGAAATTCTGTGCATCGGTTTGAGAAGAGTTGCGCTGACAATCTGTTCATCTCTATATTCAAGATATGGCTAAAAATCCAAGTTGAAAAGTACCGAAATTCCCAGGAAAAATAAAGGAATCGGAATTTCCTGGTAATATGCACATCTACACATTGTGTGCTAAATATCTGCAAAGTTTGACGAAATTCTGTGCAACGGTTTATGAGGAGTTGCGCTGACCAAAAAAAAAAAAAAGATTGACTGACTGACGGACGGACGGACGGGTCAAAAACATTATACCTCACGCAACTTGCGTGGGGTATAAAAATAATACACTGATTTATGATTGGGTATATATTTGTCAAACCGCAAGGTTATACTATAAATGAATTTTAAAAACTATTCCTCTTTCTTGTGATAAAAAGTAAATGGACACTCTTGATCCTAAACTACGGAAGCGTATTATTGTCACGTAATATCTTTTCTAAAGTTGTTTTTTTTTTTTTGTGTGTGTGTGTGTGTTTGTATGTTGTTTAACGTCCCTCTCGAGAATTTTTCACTCATATGGAGACGCCACCACTTGCCGGTGGAGAGCTGAAAATTTTGTCCTTTGCTCGGCACTTACGGCCATTGAGCAGTGAGGGGTCTTTTTCGTGCTAACACCTACTGCGACACGGGACCTCGGTTTGTACGGTCTCATCCGAAGGACCGGTCTCCACGTCCCACAGTGGGACTCGAACCCGCGACGTAAGGATTTAAAGTTGGTAATTCCAACTTTAAAGTTGGGTAATTCAACTTTAAAGTTGGCTTTTCCAACTTTAAAGTTGGCAATTCCAACTTTAATCTTGGCTTTTCCAACTTTGAATTTGAGCTTTTCTAGCCTCCCCCCTTTTTTTAAAATAACTTTTTTCCCCTTATTTTAAATTATTACTAACTTTATTAATGCAAAATTATACAGTGAAATAGATTGGTGAGCAATTAATCTGTGTCAATTATTTTTTAACTCGACCTTCCCTATGACATTACATATAACTTCCAACTTTGAAAACCCTTATAATTTTGGGGGTCCATCTTATACAATTATACAGAGAATAATATCATACAACTCCGTACATGACAGTATTTCAACCAAACCTATTTAACAGATCAGATATATGCTTAAAAAAAGATTTGGTGTTTAATATAGGGGATGAATCAACACTATATTACATGCTACAAATACAACTGAACTAAATGTATCAATTCTGTATGTGAAAACACCACGAAATAATTCCTTCTTTCATCATAATTTCATAATTAAATCGTTTCTTTCCATTGTAATTACATGTATAAAACAGCAACACGAGTTCAGCTACAGGCGCGGATCTAGAAATTTTTCAAAGGGGGAGGGGGTTGAAGAGGAAATAAGAGTTGTTATACCGTACGTTAACATAGTTAAACGACAACTTAATAGGAATACTCAGGCCCGTAGCAACGATTTCAAAAGTGAGGGTGGGGGCAAACTTGACAAAAAATTTGACAAGCAAACCAAAAAAAAAAAAAAAAAAAAAACCAAACAAACAAACAAATTAACTGTTGAAATCCTAAAATATGCCAGTTCTCGACCTAACAGTGGCAAAAAGGGGGGGGGGGGGGCAACCAGCACCTAAAGGAAAATTTACTATAGCAAAACACTATACTCAGAAAAAGTGCCCCCCCCCACGTTCTACGGGCTTGATACTATCAATCAATAACAACACTTAATAAAGACATAATAAGAACTGATTAGACATATGTAAAATTAAAATAAAAGTAAAATACTTAATTTCAAATTTAAATGTAAATTAGACCACCTAGCTTTAGTGATTTGAAAATTTGACCTTTAAAAGCCCAGTATTGTATCTAGATCGATCCGTTTAAGAAAGAGTGTGAGAGAAAATTTTAAAATTTATGCTATTGTAAGTAAATAGCTACCTCGCTACCACATCCTATTCTGTGATTATTTGAATTGAGTAGTGAAATTCTTCAAAGGGAGAAAAAAAACAAAAATAAAAACAAACAATATACAAGAAACACTACTTTTGCAAGCCGAAACATAATTATGTCCCCTCGAACCCAGTGGTGTTATATTGGATTTGAAAACAGTAAATACTCTTCTAAAGTGGTGCAAAATTTCAAATTTCTAGAAATAAATGAATCATTTTTAGTTCCACGGCAGCTGCAGGTATTTTGGATATTCAATTTCGATAAACTTGGAGAGTGATACATGTACATGTATTATAATCAGATGTCAATCTCCTTCTCGTTTCACGTAAACAATCCAAGATAAAAAAAAAATGACACAGATTAATTGCTCACCAATCTATTTCAGTGTATAATATTGCATTAATAAAGTTAGTAATAATTTAAAATAAGGGGGAAAAGATTTTTTTTTTTAATTGGAGGGGGGGGGGAGGCTAGAAAAGCTCAAATTCAAAGTTGGAAAAGCCAAGGTTAAAGTTGGAATGACCAACTTTAAAGTTGGAAAGGCCAATTTTAAAGTTGGAATTTCCAACTTTAAAATTGGAAAAGCCAACTTTAAAGTTGGAATTCCCAACTTAAAAAAATATTACGTGGCACTAATACTCTTCCGTACTTAACGGTTCTTTTCAAACAAAAGTGTGGTGGAACTTGACTACCATCTGATTTTCATGTGGCAACTTTGTGGCAGATTTTATATCACATTCTCTGGGGGTTTTTTTTTGGGGGGGGGGGGTTAAAATTTTACCATAGTATTTGGTGATAACTATAATGTAGTTCAGTCTCAAAAAAGCCTTTTTTTCAGCTCTCATCCACTAAAATAAAATTTTACAACCCAGGGGCGCCCGTTTTACTAAAGAACTTACGACTAAGACCAAAAACTTTAGTTGATTGTAAAATTTTGCATAATTAATGATTTTGATTAAAATTGCTGTTGTAAAAATATCTTTCTACATCACTTTTAAAAAGATTAAAATCATTTTCAATATAATGTAAATAAGAAACTTATAAGCAGAATTAAATTTTGGTCTTAGTCGTAAGTTCCTTGCCGTCTTGGGAAATAAAACTTTATTTAAATGCATGTTTTGAACAAGATGTGTTTGTGAAACACTGATGCCCCCGTATGGCAGCTTATGACGAAGGTTAAAGTTTCTCAAATGCAAGTCAGAATCCAGGCCAAAAGATAAAAAATGTTTAATTTGAAAGCCCTAGCTGCAACTGTTCAAAAGTTATGGCAAAGGTTAAAGTTTTTTAAAAGTAAGTAAAACATCAAGGTCAAGGTCAAAGTTATTGGTATCCAAAGGAAGGTCTTGTCACAAGGATTACATATGTAAAGTATGAAAGCCCTAGCACCAACCATTCAAAAGTTATGGCCAAGGTGAAAGTTTTTCGAAAGTAGATCAAACTCCTATGTCAAGGTCAAAGGGTCAAAGTGGTTGGTATCCAAAGGAAGGTGGTGTCACAAGGATTACATATGTGAAGTATGAAAGCCCTAGCACCAACCATTCAAAAATTATGGCCAAGGTTAAAGTTTCTCAAAAGTAGGTCAAACTCCTATGTCAAGGTCAAAGGGTCAACGTGGTTGGTATCCAAAGGAAGGTGATGTCACAAGGATTACATATGTGAAGTATGAAAGCCCTAGCTCTAACCGTTCAAAAGTTATGGCCAAGGTTAAAGTTTTTCAAAAGTAGGTCAATTTCCTAGGTCAAGGTCAAAGGATTAAAAAGGTTGGTATCCAAAGGAAGGCCTTGTCACAAAGAATACACATGTGAAGTTTGAAACCCCAAGCACCAACTGTTCAGAAGTTATGGCCAAGGTTCAAGTTTCATAAAATTTTGCAAAAGTGGGTCAAACTCCAAGGTCAAGGTCAAATATAATGGTACCCAAAGAAAGGTCTTGTCACAAGGAATACACATGTGAAATATGAAAGTCATAGCTCCAACCAATCAAAAGTTATGGGCAAGGTTAAAGTTGACAACAGACAGACAGACAGATAAACAGACAAACAGATAAACAGACAAACAGACAGACCGGACAAAAACAATATACCCCCGGGATCTTTCGATCCGGGGGCATAAAAAGGGTATATCTCTAAAATACTTCTGTGATTCCAACCAGTATCCGAGTATTATTGCATTACATCAATATAGCATTCGTCGTTATCTTGTTACAATGTAAGAATTAAGGAATAACTGTCTAATTTTTTGGTTTCATGATGTGATCAATCGATTGGTTTGCGTGATAATTTGCATAAACGCCGAAGGCGTTTATGCATAAAATTATCACGCAAGCCAATCGATTGATCATCGTCATGAAACCAAAAAATCTGACAGTTATTCCTTATATTTACATGCTCTTGATTCTGCAAATTCACGTGCTACAAGCCCCGCTTCTGTCTCTATTTGTCCCGCCCCGCACGTGATTTTTTTTTTCAGCACGCCTATCGATGAACCAGTAGATTTATGTAGAAATAAAGTATTTTTACTATTTGAAATTTTATTTTGGACAAAGACACTGGAAATGTAAATATGAGAAAATAAACAATATTCATCAAAACTTGCAACTGTTCAAGAAGGAACATTACTTTCAAAAATTGGAATGTGCTCCATGCATATTACGTAACTGAACATTTTGAAGTCTTAATGCCGAGATCTCTTCTGTAAACTTATTGACAGTTATTTACACTACATTAGAAAAATATTGGATTAAAGTTCGTCTCTCTGGGACCCGTTTCTTTATCATTCCTAATGATTTTCAATGTTAAACAAAGCGAACAAAAATAGATATCAATTGACCACCTGAGTGATTACGGTGACCATATAATGATTATTTTGAATTAAGAACTTTCCCAAACGATCCGGTGTCTTCATAATTAAGCACATTTGAAAATCAAATGTCTTTGACTTTATAACAGATTTAATTCACTTTAAAGTACAATTATCTATTAAAGATCTTAAACATAAATTCTGTATAGGTCAAATAAAAAATTCTTATGACTCTACCGAAATGGAGAGGAATTTACTTCATGCATTTAACCTGTGGCCTTGTCCAAAATAATTTGAAGTGTTTCGAGGCTACGGCATACGCTCAAGACTAGAGTAACTTTTATATCAAAAATTAACTTCTTTAGTTTTCTAATTTGAACGTTATGTTGTAAGTCTTAACATTCTTTAAATATACATGTACCTAGCCATATTTTTATCCAAGACTTCAATTGCCATCAATTTGTTTCAAGACAAGAATTAGGAGCTTTATTCTTAATTTGTTGAATCTCATACGAATAATTTTATAAAAATTTCAAATGATGCAATAAATATTAAGTTTAGCAAAAACAAAATTCACTGGTACTTACTGTGTATCGCTTTTCCTCTCGCTTTTTGCTGCTTGTCTCTACGATTTTGTATTTACCGTTTTCATCTTTTAATACCACCTTGTATTTTTTTCCTCCGCCCCACCAACCAGCTTCCACAGGCGGTAAGAACAATTCCAAAGATACCAACATCAAAACGACCAATACAACTGAAAACTGAATTGTTTATATTTAAAGCTATTTTTAACAAGTTTCGTCTTTGTATTTCTCCTATTTGAAGAGAACAATATATAAATTTTTAATATGTATATTTACTTTTAACTGAAGTATAAGTATGTCTTACAGTTACATTTATACAATCCAGTATATCATAATAAATGGAGATAACAACTAAATTGTTACTTCCGTCCGTAAAATTTCTTTTCTCTTACAAATAAATGTAAGCCAAGTTCTTTTTACATAAAATTCGCCATGTGTGGTACATGTAGTAGAAGCAAAGTTTTAGAATTTCAACTTCGGTTTAAGGTCTTAAAGTGCTTTATATTACTAGTGTACTTGTCTTTGGACCTCCTTTATCATTTGAGGCAGTAAAAAAATTGGTAGGCGACTATGTGATTTTTTTTTTAATGTCACTCTCTTCCAATGGGTTCCTAGTAATTCAAACCCCAGTTCCTCTACAGCTCTAAACTTCAGTTCTTCGTAAACCATCTCAGAAGCTCAGTCGGTAGAGCGCTCGCTCCGTGATCGGAAGGTCGTGTGTTCGAATCACGGCCGCGTCTGACCTAAATCGATAAAAAAAATAGGTGGCAATTGTTCCTTCGCCAAGCTCTCAGCACTTTGAAGTGAAAGTTGCGGCTCTTTCGGATGAGACCTTAAAAACCGAGTCCCCGTGTCACGGTAGGCGTTGGCACGATAAAGAACCCTCACTGCACAATGGCCCTGGTCCAAATTTGAAGCCCTACACCGGTATATGGTGACGTCTCTATATGAGTGAAAGATTCTCGAACGGGACATAAAACAACATATGTGATATAATCAATCAATCAATTCTTCGTCACATGAAACGGGTTTTAATACCAGACCTTGATCCTATAATCCTGTGGTTACAGAGCTTTTGGCAGATGCAGTTCTCAAGAATATTTTTAGAACCCCGCATAAAATGCGGGAGCCCTATTTAGGAATGACACAATACGATTTGGGATCATATCACTTTGTCTGTATGTATGCCCGAATGTATTTGTTGTGACACGACTATCTTTGTTTTCGACGAAACGTGTCCAATTTTTGTACAGAAGCACTTTACTATGAGAGGAAGACACCCATACATTTTGGGGTCATATTGCTTTGTCTTTCTGTTTGTATGTGCTCCACACATATTACGTAAATCAATAGACCCTATTAGAATATTTTGCATAGAAATGACTATAAAGTTAAACGAATGGCATTTTCCCTGGGATACCCTGTATGCAATATGTTGCACAAAAAAGAAAGAAAGAAAGAAAAAAAAGAGTAAGTTCAACAACTGACATTTTTCTCATATTTTATCAAAAGTCAAAATCCGAGCAATATGCTCATCTCTGATATATGTACAACTGATCTGCAAAATAATGGGGAAAAAAATTCTTGAAAACTGAAGGAGGAGTTATCCGGACAAATGATCTACCCATTTGCCATCCGCCCGTCATTTTCACCATTTCAATAACCAGATTTTTCCTACGAAAAACCTGGTTAAAAAGAGACCAAAAAAATTAACAATATGCATTTAAGGAAAGAAACAAATTAAACAACATACCTTTATTGTCTAATTATTTCTTATTCAAGTATTAGCAAAGTGCAGAGATATATTACTTCTTTAAACCTACCTTCATGGTTTGGCTTAAACGTTTTTCAAAGTTAAACGTTAATGTTGAAATATATAGATGCAAAAATAATGACTCATTATGTCTAGTGTCATCTACATCCTCTTTATGGAAATATGATTTCAGAACAATATGCTGCAATGTAGTAATAATAATGCACTTTTTATATAACAAAACATGTTGCAGAAAGTCCTTGAATATTAAATTATATTAATCATTTCTTTGTTACTACATGAACACTAATTACATGTTTGCGTGTTGGTCAGTTAGATTTCTTGTTTTATAACTTTTGAAAGCAGGTTCAGCAAGGTCACACTGTAGTACACAATAGAAATTTCAAGAGCACTTATCTTGAAGCTTATGTGTATTCACAACGTTACATAGTATTTCTCTAAAGATATAATTTAGCATAATTTTTTACTGAAAGTTTTTCATTACGAGACAATAACTGAAAATGTTTTCTTCAGACATATATTTACATTCAGCATTTTTTCAATAAACAATCCATTCTAACAAGGGAAATTATATGCCCTTTTTCATCCTCAAAAACTTTTGTCAACATTTGGTTAACTTTTCTGGTGTGATACATTTTACAATGCAACTTATACACAAGATTGTGCTTACTCTTTATTTTACTTTATCATGCACATCCATATATGTCCTAGCTAACTTCTTATACTTTAAGTTTTTGAAAACAATATTGTTTCTCATAAAAAATCTTAGATTAAAATTATTTGTGAGATAATCATGCATAGAGTAAAGGTTACAATTCAGTAAAACTTCTCCATAAAAGTATTCATTTCTTTAAAGTTATGAGTACTTATTTTTCAGCTGTATTTCGGCATTTCTGACTTTCTATGCATTTGAAATGAAAAAAAAGCTGAAGAGAAAGAACAGTGACAATCTCTTAAAAACTTCAAACAATACATATCTGTGAACAGGGCATAAACACGGGACCCCTGGAAATTCCAGAGGCTTGATCAGGTATACCTAAGAGTAAGCATCCCCTGTTGACCAGTCACACCCGCCGTGAGCCCTATGTATTAATCAAGTAGACGGAACATTCCGTAGTCAAATTTAGTATAAAATCGAAGGTCTAACAATTGATAGGAAACAGGTCAGCCAAAACACGACCCGATGATTGGTTATATTTGCTTATAAGGTCATTATAACGACAAAGAACTTAAATGTGAATAGCCTGCCTCGGTTTAAAAACTGATCGTACTCAGAGCATGCTCTTGAGTAGCGAATAAGTTGGGAGACATAAACACCATATGCAGGTGACAACCGAATTTTACTTCATAAATAAGGAAAGCTGACGATGGAAAAATTGAAGTCATCTCGTTTGTCACACATGCGGGTACTTAGGATGAGACCTTAAACACCGACGCCCCGTGTCACGACAGGTGTTGGCACGATAAAGAACCCTCACTGCACAATGACCTTGAGTGCCGAGTAAAGGTCTAAATTTGAAGCCCTTCACCGGTATATGGTGACGTCTCTATATGAGTGAAAAATTCTCGAATGGGACGTAAAACAACATACAATCAATCAATCTATGTTTTCAGTGAAATTCTTTGAAATCTACAATGTTGCTCTTCATTATGGCGTATACTATGAGATGATGCATGTGGAACTTTTCGCACTCATTTTGCTATATGCACATTGCTATTTCCCCATAATTTGGGAAGAAAGCTGTAAAAGTCTATAATATAAAGATTTTGCGTAATTTAGTGTAGTCTATACGGAATTGGGGATCAAAAGGGACTAAGGGGATATTTGGGGGACGTCTGCAATGATCTCCATTACAACTGGTACTAGTTGTATATTTGCATTTGAATTAATCTGAAGTGTAATGTACAAATTGTAACACTATATATCTCATTATTATTTTTCAGCGTTTGCTTCCACCAAATTCAAAGTGGATAGTAGAGATTTCATTAGGTCAATGAATGAGAAAATGGCCGAGGGGAGGAAGACAGTCAACATACTAAGTGCCTTGAATATCAACATAATAAGTGCTTTGAATACATGTACATGAGTGACAGCGATCAATAATTCAATTGTTCAAATTTCAGATTTGTAGTTTTTAAAATTCCGAAAGGCCAAGTGAGCTTTTTCTGATTACTTTTTTCTTGCGACTTTAAAAAAATAGTACGAGACAGGGTCTACGCAGCTCCCAGGCCCCTGGCCAATATTGGGTCATCTCTAAATCCTCTTTTTCATTTACTTCAGAATCATGAAATAATATTACCTGCTTTGCTTTTTAAATCATCGCATAACTATTAATTAGGTCATTTTAATACACTGAGCATTTCAGTTTTATAGCAAATGTATACCAAAAAGTTTGAAAGTATAAACATAAACATGCGTCTATGAGACTACTAGACGACATTATCAAAGACTCTCTCGTTAAGGATCATCTCTTCCTAAGGGAACAGGGTGCGATTTAGCTGCAGAACTGTGGCTCTCCGTAAAAAATGTACTGACAGACCGGAGAGCTCAAGTACCACGCATAGAAAAAAAAACATTATTATTATTTATTGCGCAAAAAAAGCTGTGCATGGATCAGGATTTATTTCTTCAAATTCTTACCTGCACAAAAGCGCAATTTCAAAACATTCCTTAGACTTTTATCAACTACTCTCGTAGTCGACATCTGCATGATGTGTGCTTGAGCAAATGGCAGTATTAATAGACGACATTTTCGATGGTCTCAAATTCAGGCCCAGGAGAGCTATAAACAACGGTAATGGGAAATGTTTTGTTGTGGAATAATAAAAGAATATGCCTGGAACACACGGTTAGTAATATTTTGATTGATTGACTCTATGTTGTTTTACGTCCCGTTCGAGAATTTTTCACTCATATAGAGACGTCACCATAAACCAATGAAAGGCTTGAAAGTAAGACGTTTACTCGGCACTCAGGGTCATTGAGCAATGAGGGATTTTTATCGTGCCAAAGCCTGCCGTCACACGCGGCCTCGGTTTTTAAGGTCTAGTGTATATTTCATAAAATTTCTTTTTCTTTTGGAAATTGGCTCTTTTGCTTTTCCAGGTCAGTTGCTTTTCTTTAATCCTCTCGTCTTTTTTCTGTGTTTTTTCTTCTGCATCTCTCTTGTTTAGCTCCTTGTTGGCATTTCATATTCGTTCATATAACTTATATTATGAAATCCCTGGTGATGGGTACTAGTTCAGGTCCCACGGTATCAGAATCAAGAATTTACACTTTCTTTACCAGTCTATATTGACAGTAAAGGAGGTTTTTGCAAGACTGAAACTGTTAGAAAGACGCTATTTCATGTCTGACAATCTTTTAACATCTGCATTTCCATTAGGTTGTACAACATCCGCCGAAGAGTTGC